GCGCAGGCGGCGTTGGCGTTTTCTTGAGTTAACAAAGTATGTATAATATATTATATCGTAGGAAATAGCATTCTTATTTACATAGTTTCACTAGACTATACTCTGTGACTCAAACATTGTAATGTTTACAAATTATCGCATAGATTCGTTCTCCATTGCGACATGTTTATCAATTTTACTACTTCCAACAACAGGCGACTGTTAACGTATTAAAAACGTTTCTAAAAGCGGGCGCCTACCTTTGACTAAACTATTGCACACTGTTGTGCGATTGTCGATTGTTTCGCAGCCAATTCAACTGTTTAGTTGCATTAAAAAGAGTAATGTGCATACAAGGTCATAGGAATCAAAGCGCTACTAAAACAGTTGTGCGATAATACAGTCAAAGGCGTTCGCGCGCTCTTGCTTGTATAAAAATTGAAAAATAAGGGAAAGTGTTATCTTTTAAATAGTTGTTTGTTGGCACCTAAAATGTTAATCCTGTGAATCACTTTGTTATATGATTATTAACCTTATCGATGATTTACAATGGCGCCGATACACGGTAAATATTTGAACGATTAGAATTCCGATTACGACATACGTGATTCATCTCCGTCGAATGCTTCTTCAATTTCCTTGTTATTTTTAATAGTATTACCATTTTAAATGTTTTGTTTTTAATTTCTTTGTAAAAATCTTGTATTAAATATTCTATTGTAATCTAAATCTGTTCAAAAGGAAGCTTTTTTTGAGTGGTAGAGCCGAACAAATGGCCCGGCTTGCCTGGTGTAATACCACGACCAAACAGAAAACAGGCGTGAAGTGGATGCAATTCCGCGTTTCGTCTGATGAGTGTGGTGCGGGAGGCCTAATTTTAGTCCCTTTCCCTTTCCACCCTTTTCTTAAGAGGAAAGGATGGGAAGGAAAAGTGGATTTGACGGTGGAGGAGACGCATTGGAAGGGGAAATGTCCACTTTATGTGCGTCTCCTCCTCCGTCAATTAAGAGTAGGCAACGGATCTGCAATTGCGGATGTTTATGGGCAGCGGTCGCTTTCCATTTCGGTGGATTCAGGTGGCCGCTTGTTCGTTTACCACCTTATATTATAAAAAAAAGTGTTTAAATTACTAAAAGAACTATCCTAATTTTCGCTTTTAAAATAAACTTCCCTTTATTGTCCTTTTCTTTTACAAAAAGGTAGAAAAGGTAAATGACTAGACTTAGGTCTCTAGGATGTTTGATAAAGAGATAAATTTGTTAAGAATGAATCAAAACATACGACTACAGTGCTATTACTTCGCGCACATGACCTTTTATGTCAAAATCAAGGTGACACATATTAGCGATCACGACTTCACGACGCGATCTTGAAGATGTTCTACGACAAACAAACCGACAAAAAACGTGAGCTAAGTACACGGTGTGATAAAACGATTGTCATGCCTTTTTTCAATTGTTTTTCATTAAAATTTTATTATAGTAGCGATTACCCGCGATTTCCGCGTGGAATTAGAAAACGCGCTTATCCGCTCACTATTTTAAAATATTCAAACAGAAGAGTGTAATTCAGGACATTTTCCTTTGTCACTATCCTCCATTAAAAAGAAACAGAATAACATCGATCAGGAAGAAATAGACACGATTCTTATATGAAGGTCTTGTGTCGTATTAACTTGGAAATACCTCAGGTAAGGATTTGTCCGCAAGGCAAATTCTGTTCGACAAGAACTTGTGTTAAAAATGCCAAATGTTAATACTGTGTGGATGGAATGTTTGATTGTGTTTCCTTATACTGTTTCACGTTTCGATGTTTATTTGATTTCGTTTTAATTTTACTGGATGTTTTGAAACGAGATCTCTTCAAGTTTACGCTGATTTTTTTTTACTTAAAACATTATCGAGTGTTGATTCGCTGAATAATAAAATTGTATAAATCTTTTTATACTTAGAAAACTTTGTTATCTTTATTATTAGCGAGCAACATTGCAAGTTACACGAGCGTTGAACTATTATGCATATATTTCTAGATTTATTTACAATGTTATTAATAAAATATGTAAATATTAATTTTTCTCACATACAAGTATTCGTGAACGAGTCCTGACCTTCCCTAACTCGATGGGACAAGGAATAACTGCCTAGGTCATGGAATGCTCAATTAATCTGCACAAGTCTAGATGCAAACTGACGCCGGTTTTTGAAATAGCAATTAAATTTATTTGAAATGTTCCTGACTATACTAAAATTCGTTAGGCTGTTTTATCTTTAGACAGTATAATGTATTAGGTGGTCTAGTACGAAAATGTACGAGAAATTATTCGTATCGACATCGATAATTTTTGACGAATTTCGCACAAAAATTTTCGTCGCAGGCCACCGGATCTTGATAAATTTTTACGGTCGTAGGTTTATGCAGTATTCAACTCTCCGAAGTCTTGATCGTCATTGTTATTTACATAAAAGGAAAGTTATTAAACATTTGGTAGAGTTTGTTATCTTTCAAAGAAAACAAGACGGAATTATGTAAATATCTTTCGTACAATGTACTTCGTAGTTGTTACTGTAACTAGTCTTAAAAAGGTAAATTATTTACTTACAAATCACACCCCATACAGTTTATCGGCGGCGGTAACCTCTTATAGCCTATAGGACATCTGTTATACACTATAGCACTGCGTTTTACTCTCACTGGTATCAACCACTTTATATCTTCACTCAATTCCCTTAAAGGGTCAGTCCTTAATCTGGATTCAACATTTGATTTAGACTCAACAAGTTTGATCAGTAAAATGACCGCGAACGCATATATGACTAATTTATTCACCGCCATGATGCACGTCCGATCAGTTCGAGAGACGAAATGACACTGAATAGCCTTCAGCTATCCGAGGTTCTGGTAGTCGATGGATTGGAAGAAATTGCGCGTAAGTAAATCAATTTATAGCCTCTTATGACTCAGAGGTAGTAGGTTTGAATTTCGTTATGTGCAGCCGTACCGTTAGTTTTTACCTCTTGCACACTAAACCTTTCCTTGTCCATTATTTGTATGATAAAATACTTAATTACCCAAATATAGGCTTATAATATAATGACCAATACATTAATCATTGTCATCCACATTTATAAATTTTTAAATATCTTGCTAATATTATAAATGCGAAAGTTTAGATAATACGATGTTCGTTAGAGTTTGTAGCATAAACGGCTGAAAGGATCTCGATGCATATTGTCGTAGAAGTAGACGATAGTCTGGAAGAACACATAGGCTACATTCCCTCTTTTAAATTACACACTCACGGAATCGGATGAAAGCCAATAAATAAATACACTTATTTACGTATTAAATACGTATACTTATTACGTATTAAATACTACTAGGTTTACGTACATACTGGAGAGAGTTACAAAAAACTATTTCAAAGAGCCAAAAGCCTAATAATCAAAGCGGTGGCCTATACTCAGAGAAAGATTAAATTAAAAATTTCCCTTGCAATTCAACAATTGTTTACTATAGTTAACAGTAAGTTAAAATAGTTAACAAACGTCATGAGTATTGTTTCGTTAGCATCTGTTTCAATAAAGCTATTATAGAAAGGCAAAAGTTATTGACATTGTCCAAAGACCTTGATGGACGGGACAAGTTGACATTTAATAATAATTTATTGGTGACTTTCTGATCCTATTATAAATATTAATAGCATGATTTGAAGTAATACAGGACCTGACAATTTTACATCCTACTAATAGGAAGGAAGAAGGTGTAGCGATGACGTGAACGGATTTATTGATACAAGTAGGAGGCGGCCAAGGCGAACGTATTTTTTATTGATCGAGTTTGATACGTTCAAAGTTGTATAAACGAATAACTTATCGATTTATCCTATCAAAAGTATAAAATTGAATAAGTTATCTAGTTTTAAAATGCTTTAGTTACTTTACTTTCAGTGCAGATTTCTTGATATCTAGCACAATATGGATGTTAACAAAGGATTTTCTATTATTCGTTTCCGTCCGCGTGGAATTAAAGAAACAAAAGTGAGTAGCATATGTATTCTTCCAGACCATACTCTACATCTATACCAAATTCCGTCGAAAACCGTTTTGCGGTTTAGGCTGCAAACTTTAACAAACATCCATCCATCTAAACTTTCGCATTTATAATTATGATTACGTCGATAGTATTTTGTCTAATGTGACGACACGTGTCAAGCTTATGTTGTCGTGTTCGAGATTTAATTTATTTGAATATCTCGATGATAATGTCTACTTGATTTGTGGCTTCTTCAATAAGCTTATGTCTACTTTAGATAATAGACCGTGACGTACTATTCATCTATACAGATAAGATGAAAATAATACGCTGCAATACAACTCAACTCGCTTTTACTGGCGACTTTTTCCACGTGATATAAAAAAAAATAAATGAAAACTGTAGCCTGTGTTACTAATTGAAAACGTAGCTTTTTAATGGTTAAAGAATTTTAGAAATCTACCAAGTATTTTTTGAGTTATTACATGACATACAAAAATACAAACCTTTATGATCCTTAAACTTTTCCTCTTTATAATATTAGTATAGATTCGTTTCATTTTTAATTTTAAATGTTTTTATGGTTTTAATTTATGGAATTTTAGGAGAAAAAAATAACAGAAGAATTTATATCGACATAACTTGACAAGACTCTAAACAACTTAACAATATCTAGAACTGTATTGTATGACCGTTATAAGTTCGATCTACAAGTTAGAAAGCTGACATTTTTAGGTCAGATAAATAAAGAAAGAATGTCAAAATAAAACCATACGAAAGAGAGAGGAAATAGTGAGGATAGTTCTGCAACCAACAAAATTAGAGGCATTCTAATGAGTTGAAGATGATGATGTCCTCTGTGACGTAATCAGTGAATGGGAAACCTTGCTATCTCCTTAATGATTTAATAGCGTCTTTAAATAAACCAAAACAATAAAACGATCTTTGAGTTCTTAGCGATAATTCATTTATAGGCATATTATTTTCAGACATTTACAGAATCGATAGAGCTAAGTAATCAGCGGTTAGTTGCTGAGAAGAGAAAAAGCGACGTTCTTCTGTCCCGTATGCTGCCTATGGCTGTGATAAGGAGGCTTCGAGCCCAGAGGACAGTTCCTGCGGAATCCTTTGACGCTGTCACCATCTTCTTCAGTGATATTGTCGGCTTCACCAACATATCTGCTACCAGTACTCCTATTGAAGTTATAAATATGCTTAATATGTTGTACAGGTAAGTTAGAACTGTTTTATTGTTAAGTGCTAATCAGTTTTTCTATCTACACTAATCTGTTCCAGATTGTTCGATGAGAAAATAGTTCAATACGATGTATACAAGGTGGAGACTATCGGTGACGCGTATATGGTCGTATCTGGACTGCCACAGAGAAATGGTACGGGATAAGTATCTACTTACCTTGTACTGTAGATTTGACCAAGGTAATAAAGACTGTTTGTCTTACAAGAAATTTTAGGCTGTTGGTAATTAGCGAATGCTGTTCATGTGCTCAATGTTGCCAGATTCATTGTGTTTTTTTTTTTATAACAGCAGGTGGCAAACGAGCAAGCGGCCACCTGAAACCGCCAAAATGGCTAAGCGACCGCTGCCCATAGACATCCGCAATTGCAGATGCGTTGCCTACCCTTATACGACGGAGGAGGAGACGCACATAAAGAGGATATTGCCCCTTCCTGCATCTCCTCCGCCGTCAAATCCACTTCCTCTTCCCAACCTCTTCTTATAAGAAAAGGGTGGTAAAGAGAAAGGGACTTAAATTAGGCCTCCGGCACCACACTCATCAGACGAAACACGGAATTGCTTCCATTTCACGCCTGTCTTCTGTGTGGTCGTGGTATTACACCGGGCGTGCCGGCCCATTCGTGCTAAGATGTTTTGACATATTAGCACCTTATATTATATATATACATATTAGCACAGTGTAAAGGGATGTCCGTTTATTTTATTACTTAACCCCTATACTTATTATATTATGTGCAGCGCTTGAAGACAAATGCAAGCTACCTTAGATGTATCACGTTTCATTTATTTTAGGCAATCGTCATGCATCAGAGATAGCGGATATGTCCCTGTCGTTGATGCGTGGTCTGGAAGGTGCGCGGGTGCCGCATCGACCTGAAGAGTTGCTGAGGATCAGAGCTGGCATCAACACTGGTCCGTGCGTTGCTGGCGTGGTCGGTACTACTATGCCGAGGTACTGTTTATTTGGAGACACTATAAATACTGCCAGCAGAATGGAAAGTACCGGTGAAGGTGTGTATGTAATTTTATTTTACTTGATCAACCATAGAGTATTCAATAGTCTTCTAAGTCTTCTGAGTCTTCTAAGATATGCTACTATCTGTCAAATAAGCACTCGCCCATCACTAGATCTGGGGTGCAATATTTTTTGGTAAGTCGATAGTTTTTTTTACATTCCGTTATTTCGTCTACAATTTAATCTATAACGGAAATATTATCAATACCCTGTTGATATTTATGATGTGTAATAGATAGGATATTTTATCGAATAAGTTGGTTCAGTGATTCACGATTGATAAATGGTCTTTTAATAGATACGTAGCAAACAGCGGCGTTTATGATGGATTACATACGTTACAACCGATAGCAAAGGGCAAGAAAGTATGGAATTAACCCAGACATGAGACAAAATATTTTTAAAATATGAAAGGTCCTTTTTATGTTTTTACTAGCTGTTCCCGTGCGATTTCATCCGCATAAAATTATGAATATTGTATTTTATTGTTTACATTTGTCATATTATCAATTGCAAATGTCAAAATGACATGACATGACAAACCTTAGCAATCTTTTTTTCTTGATGTTGGCAGCAACTTATGGTCTCTTCCCACATTAGGGTTTTTATTCAAAATATTTACCCCCTAAGTTTATTGGCGAGAATATATACGAGTATATATAGCCTAAAGCGTGACGTAAAATTTTATTAGAAAAAGGGATTAACTATTCATAAATATGCTGTATTTGGTGACACGTTAGGCAACAAAGAAGTGTGTGTTTACGCTTTATTATAATAGTAGATGTATTTAAATTATTGTTTCAGCAATGAAAATTCACATTTCTCAAACAACGAAAAAAGCTTTAGACTCTATTGGAAAATATGAAATTGAATCCAGAGGAATCATAGATATACCGGTAATATATTCTCTTACCTTCTATTATGTAACATTGTTATATACTTTAATTATATACATTAAATGTTTTATTAATGATAGTAGAGGCCATACTAATTGTTTATTTTGCGTCTTGAGTTTAGTCTGACAAAATACGTCAGTGTTGATAATTTGCCGCAATATTATTTCATAAGCATAACAATGCCTGTGTCACACGAGAACGGAGAGAAGCTGAGAAGTAGACAGTAAGGTAGGAAAGGATGGTACACATAGAGACAGAATTAGACATTTTTAGAGTGGACGCACAATTTTGAAGTAACTGTCGCACTGTTGTGCGATTGTCGATTGTTTCGCATCCATTTTAACTGTTTAGTTGCAGTAATAGTACGTGCTATTTGATATATACTTGTACCTACACATTATCTAGCTGTTTTATATGCTAAATATGAAAAAACCCGAATGTTTTCGCATTCGGGAACTTTCCCCGGGTTTTATACCTGTTTTTTCCCACATGAGAGTTTTTTCCGGGTAAAATCCCATCTCTACATAGGAAGCAAAGTGCAACTAAACAGTTGGGCGATAGTTTAGTTTTTTTTTTTTATAACATAAAGTGGCAAACGAGCAAGCGGCCACCTGGATCCGCCAAAATGGCGAAGCAACCGCTGCCCATAGACATCCGCAATTGCAGATGCGTTGCCTACCCTTATCCGACGGAGGAGACGCACATAAAGTGGATATTTCCCCTTCCTATGCATCTCCTCCACCGTCAAATCCACTTCCTCTTCCCATCCTCTTCTTAAAAGAAAAGGGTGGTAAAGAGAAAGGGACTAAAATTAGGCCTCCGGCACCACACTCATCAGACGAAACACGGAATTGGTTCCATTTCACGCCTGTTTTCTGTGTGGTCGTGGTATTACAAATGTGCGCACGCTCTTACGGTACAGTTAATGTTTAAGTAATTGCAATACTGCACTATCTACTACTCTGTTCTTGCCTTGTGGAAAAGGTGATGCTAGGAAATTTATTGCATTTTTTGCAGGGTAAGGGATCTATGGAGACTTTCTGGTTACTGGGCAAGTTGGGTGGTCTACCCCTGGAGAGTCCGCGTTGTATGCGCCTACATGACTACGACCAGAATATTCTAGAAATGCTCATTAAATCTTAATGTTAATTTTAAGTTTAAATTATTATAGAAAATGTTAGTGCCAAGAATAAGTATCATTAATATAAGATTTGATTTTATTAAATAAATATTAAATCTTACTGTGATTTTTCTTTTTTTTTTATCAAATATTTGAAATTACTACAGTAAAGTTACGAATTACAACGTAGTGTACTTTTGATGTACTTTAGTAAATATAGTATATCAAAAAGTGTGCTAAAGAAGTTGATGATAAAATGTTGGCGTTTTAATAAAAGTAGGTAAGAATACTCTGCAATCTTTTATTGTACTACATTTGACTAGACATTGACAATATAAAAGTTAAACGCTTCCTTATTCTAGAAATTTCATTTTCACGACTATATCGTAAACTACCGCAAATAAAATAAATAAGAACTATTGTTAAATTACACTATTAATTTGTCAATAAAATCTTACGGCCGAATATTGAAACGATATTTAAGTATGTAACAGCAACTTTAATGATAAAGTCACGACTAAACTACAAATGCTATAAAATATTCGACGACTCTCAGATTATAATCGACGCTAACGAAGTGTAGTGAAAAAAGAAAGAAAATAAAAAAAATGAAGTGAAGTGTTTCGTTTCAGGATTTTGCCGTTAGATCGACTTAAGTATACCTACACTAGAAGAAAGCCTAATTCTGATTGCGTATTCGTCAATTTTTGGTTTTAAAATCTCTCAATTTTTTGTATTAAGAATTACAATTAATCCTATCAATAAATATTGAAGTGCAAATTCAAGAAACAGTGACATCGAGTAAATCTACTTAAGCTCACTATTTTTGTTCTCTTTGGTATTAGGAAATGAAAACGATGGAAAATAGGTCTAGAAATTTATACCTATGTCCTAAAACACCACAAAGGTCTATGTAACTATCTCTAGGTAATGCTATCCTTCTCTAATCCTTCGTGTAAGAAAGAAATGTAGATAAAGAAAAAAAACAACATTCATCACACTTCTTTATAACTTACCAAATAAAGACCATTCAGTCCAAAAATATTCTAAACTGTCCACTAAACATCTCTAAAACAAAGAGATTTAAAAATGTATAGACGAGGCATAGTTGACATTTGAGACATTTTTCACGTAATCAGATCCTCAAAACCACATGTCAGTATAGTTAGCTACTCTTGCTCGCGACTGCGACTGCGTAGAATTAAAAAAAAAACATATGTAAATATCCTAATAAAATAGCATATGTGTTCTTCCAGACTGTCCTCTACATCTGTGTCAAATATCATCTAGATCCGTTTAGCAGTTTAGTTGTAACATCCATACATCCTAGTATAGTAGGTAAGATTGTGTTTAAATTAATTGCCAATAGATGTCATTAAATAACATTTAAATATTTGGTAACACGGTTTAGTTTAAGAACAAAAGATGGAGTTTTATTATAATTTTGTTTTTTATTTCACGTACACAATACAAATACGAGGTGGCACTAAACATCTGATATAGTACCTTTCAGAGAAAGTACCAGTGAAATTGTTCAATGCCTCGTCTATATATTATTTAAATATCTTTGGTCTTAAATGAACTGATTTATTAGTAAATGGTATTTTTTAATGTTGTTCTCGTTTTGATTTTGGTTGATATCTCGGTGATGTTCTTCCTTTGGAGTGTATCCTGGCGAGGAAGCTGGGCGTGCAGTCCAGGGATGTGGTGGGTCTCACTGGCGAAGGATCGGTTCTACCTTCTAACCAATACGTCATCATTTCTCCTTTACCCTGAAGAGAAAATTTGATTTTTTCCTGATTTGAGAAGAAATTTTATACTACAAAATGATGAACAAAAGCGATAAAGAAAATGAAAATTTTTAGTACAGTTAGAAAATTTAAAAATCCTACACTGATCCGGAACTATGAGATAGAAAAGTTGTAGCACTTTCGTGGGCGCATAATATAATAAATTATAAAGCAAATTGAAACATAGCCGTTAAGTATATTTAAGCAGTTATAAACGTAGAAATTACCTTAACATCAACAAGTCCTCTAGGTGCGGTAATAAATCTACCAGATTTATCCAACGCTCTTTTCACGTCTTCGGAGATTTGAATTTTCATGGCTAAGAACATAACAAGGTTATTAAAAATGTCTTAATTACAGTACATAATTAATAAAAAGATTAACATACGTTCTCCTGTGCTTTCCATCCTACTGGCTGTGTTAATTGTATCTCCAAATAAACAATATCTCGGCATCTTACTGCCTACAATACCAGCGACGCAAGGCCCCGTGTGAATACCACTTCTCATACAAAGAGTCTAAAAATAGATATTTACAATCAAATATTACATTTAATAACTAAATTAAGTTTTTAAAAAGCACACATTAAAATGTTTAATATTTTTTGATATCAGCGCCATCTATTGATTAAAGCGCTTTTCTACAAAACCTACAGCAATTTGATATTTAAAGCAATATTGTGCAATTGAGCAAAAAAATCACTAAAAAGACATGCAAAGCTGTGTGGTGGTAACATATGTTTTATGTATGGGCAAAAACACTGAGACGATTATTACCTAAGTAGGTACCTGATCGGGGCGGTGCGGCAAGCGACAGCTAGATGTCGCCTCTAACAATTCTAAAGCCATACTCGCTATCTCTGTTGCATGTTTGTTTCCTGGAAATGAATAAAACATTTTTTTATACAATAAGGTGATAAACTAGAGAGCGGTCATCTGAATTCGCCGAAAAGGCGAAGCGGCCCCTGCCCATCAAACTTTGCAGATGAGTTACCTTCCTTGAATTGACGGAGGAAGAGACGCACATTAAGAGGATATTTTCCCTTATTTTCGTGTTATCCACCATCAAATCCTTCATTAGAAGAAGAAAGTGGATTTGATGGTGGTGGCTTCTTCTTTCTTATAAGGAATGGATTGGAAGGGTAAGTGACTAAAATTAGGCCTCTGACATATCAGTTGAAACATGGAAAACCGGTTAAAGCGGGCTCTACCACTGTTTAAACGTAGCCAACTTGTGGGTACTAAAGCATGTCTAGTGTCTAGCGTACTGTAGTGCTTTTTCTTAAAGAAAGAATTATTCAAAAATATGCTGTGATTGTTGACATCTAACGCCACAAAGTAGTGTATTTTTACTCTTAATTATATTAGTATATCAAGATTGTGCATGCATTACAACATATGGTAAGATGTTACAGGGAAGACCGGGACTTCCGATCACAAGTACCAGTTATTAAAAAGTTATCAGCTATTTAAAAGCGAATCCCTACATCTGAATAACTTGTATAATCTATTGTTACAGCAATAAATAATTTTCATTTTCAACAGAAAGTAGTAACTTTACCATTTCTGACGGGCAATCCTGAAGCAACCATGTAGGAGTCACCGATAGTTTCAATTTTATATACATCGTAACATTCGATGCGTTCATCAAACAGCTTGTACACGGAGTTGAGAAAACTGATCACCTGCAAACATTCAATACCTTCTGTTTCATTTATTTATCTTACTAAGATTATAAATGCCAAAGTTTAGATGGATGGATATTTGTTAGAGTTTGTAGCCTAAACTGCTGATCGGATCTCGATAAAATTTGGCATAGGGGATAGTTTGGAAGAACACATAGGCTACTTTGTTATTTTTTTTTAATTACACGCAGAAAGAGTCGCGGGAGAAAGCAAATATAAGTAGTAGTAGTAGTAGTATAAACAAAAGCTAATTCAATCACACAATTACATAGGAAACAAGTACACAGAACCGATGCAATATCCGATATAAATACAGAAACAATTTAATAAAGTTAATTTAACGATGTACAAAAGGATCGAATAAATAAAACTGAAAACTTGAAAAATTAACAAAAACTAAATCAACTGAGAAGAAACCTTAAGAACGGACCTGATATGGAGTGGAGACAGCTGCTATTGCGGTGAAGCCAACGATGTCACTGAAGTAGACTGTCACAGATGCGAAGAATTCTGCTGGTACCTGGAAAATAAATTATTTATAATTACATTTATGGTCACCAAAATTGGCTAATAAAATCCTAGGACACGGAAAAGGTTGGACTACCATTTTTCTTTTATTAGGGTACGAAACATAACAGCCAAAATTCATGCATATCTTTTCTTAACTAACATACTAGTTTTCGCCCGCAACTCCGTCCGCGTGGAATTAGAAAAATACAAAAGTACTATCCTCTACATCTATACCAAATTTCGTCGAAATCTGTTGAACCGTTTAGGCTACAAACTCTAACAAACATCCACCCATCTATCTATCCATCTAAACTTTCGCATTTATAGTATTAGTATGAATAGTATGATTGACGTTTTGATTTTGTCTTGCACAGGCTGCAAAGATTATAACAGTTCAGGTAACTTGGACAAAGTTTTATTCTCTAGAATACTGTCCCTACCTGCTGAGTCTGCTTTAGTTGTTTAGCAACACTTGGCGGCAGCATTTGATATAACAATGAATCGCTTAACTCTTTCTCGTATTCAAGCTCTCGGGCTTTTTCCGATAGATTTCTGGCATACACCTGAAATGTTTACAATCTTTTACTGCAACATAAATTTAGAGCATATAGCTTTAAACCAAATCAAATGGCGACCAATCCAAAATTCTTATTCAATTATCACTAATTTGATTGTTTGTGTACTTACCTGTATAGTGTTGACTGCATTCCTAACTAGAGCAATGATAATCGGAGAAACGACACAGACAAGAACTAGTATACCAGCACATACTGCTTCACTTCTCCTTGCTTCTGTTAGACTTTCGTTCACACCTTCCCTGAGAAAATCGATACAAAAGCACTCATCATCAAGAAGTGAATTTACGAGAAAAATAATTAGCTTTTCTTGAAGTACATATTTTCGAATTGAACGCAAACTAATCACTATTCGCGCCAATTTAAAAGTACTTCCTAAATGGTTCTGGTAAGTTACAATAAAATTCCTCAATCTCGATTTACGACGACGAAAAATTTTGTCCAATAAAGTCTTGTGGTAATTAATTTCTAAGATTGGGGTTTAGAATTACATATTCTAAAATACATAGTAACTTAATACGGTAAAGTAATAAAGTTAAAAGTAGCTTGAGGTGTTAAATCTGTTCGGTTTTAACGATTTTATTGGTGACGTAATAACTTGGCTGCAATGTCGACAGGATTCAGTGAAACCGGCTTTGATACTGCGATCACGTATCGAATTAGATACGAACTATTTACTCTGAATCTATTGTACGATGAAATTAAATCAGAGACAAAGAGACTAAACGATACATTTAAATATTCAATTGTGATGAATTTTAGCTCCTAGAAATATTGCACAGATTATGTGTAGATATTATTTTTGTAAGTAAGATTTCCTTTCAATTTAAATTATGGAAGAAAAATATAATGAAGAAGCAAGAAAGCTTTATCTTATTACCTAAAATTTTAGAGAGGCGACTAAGTACCCATAGGACTTGCAATGCTTAATTTCCAAATTTACTTAAAGGGTAACAAATTACTTATAGGAAATTTAAAAACAACTACATAATTATTTATTATTATATGAAAATGTCGCTGTATATTCATATAAAGTACCAGGACAACATAAGCTTGTATCAAGAGGAGAATGTACTTTACCTGATATATTGACGCAATTGTTTCTGCACAGCTCGCAGCTTATCCAGTAGAGTGGCTGTCTGATCGAAATACTCTATAGCATCGCTCACGCTGCCCTCCTGGTACTTATTGTCCACTATTTGCTGATTCCTTGTAGAAAATTAACATTTATCTAGCTGCTGCTTACGACTTGGTCCGGGTGAAGTGAAAAATCCTAGCTTGTTGTTTGTTACTCATAGATAACGTAGCTTTTTAATGGTAGAAAACGTAATTAACCGCGTTGATTTTGAGTTATTTCAATACATACAAAAATACAAACCTTTCTTCTTCATAAAATTACTATAGATTCTAACATTATCTTTGTTTTTTTTTGAAGAACATGCAATTACAGTATTATACAAATAGTGGAAACCCACATCAAGAATGTAGTTTATTATAACCCGATGGCAAATTCGACTCTACAACGTCAATTGTCGCAGTAATCTTAACAATTTACGTTGCCATTTCATACAGAAACACTTTTAGGGACCATTGATTTTTACTAACTTTACTTCGAAGTGTTTTCTTTCGTTTAATTTATCTTGATATAATATTAGTAGACGCGATCATTTATTTGATATACGAGTAACAAGACAGTGAACTCGGATCGCAAATAACGCTCTTGTTCAAAACAAACACATTAATTCGAACTGTTGAACGAGTTTTGTTGATCTTTCTGAAGGTTTTCTATGTGTTGAAACTATTCCAAGATTAAAATGAGTTAATTCATAAAAAAAAAAAACATTTATTTATTATTAACTAGCTATCGCCCGCGACTACCTCCGCGTGGAATTAAAAAAACAAAAATAAGTAGCTTATGTGTTCTTCCAGGCTATCTCCTACATCCATGCCAAATTTCACCGAGATCCGTTTAGCAGTTTAGGCTACAAACTCTAACAAACATCCATCCATCTAAACTTTTGCATTTATAACATTAGTAAAATAATTTAAAAAATAAAAACAAAATGCATGATAATGACAAATTATAACCTTAAAAACTGAAGGATCTATGTATGCTTACTTTTTCTCCAGGACTTGGTATTCAGGACTATCTTCTTTGATGTCTTTGTGCAGAGGTATCAGAGATGGCACCAGGTTTAATGTGTTGTCAAGAAGATCACGACCTAATACCATATGTGATATATACCTGAAATTAAAATAATTTAAGGATAGAGAAATATTCGCAAATAATAATCGTCGCAAGGATGAAGTGGCAGTGAAGTTTCATCCCTCTAGACAATTGATCATCTCCCTTGCCTTATTCTACTCCCGTAGGGTCGGCGCACCGGGTTTTCGTCCTCCAAAGCACTCTAGCATACGTCATCTCAGTCATCACTTCTTGATCATGTCACCTTTCACGCAATCCATCCATCTCTTTCTACGTCCACCTCTACCGGTGTACCCTTCCACATTCATAACTAACGTCCGTCCCTCTAGACAATTTAAAAGTGTATAAACCACTTCAACTATGATCAAGTTATTGGTGGTAACCAACCCTTAAACGCAGATCAGTACCTGGTAACGTCCAAGCGTCATGTAGAAAACACAAATTGTTATCATTCGACAAATCAATACGCAAATCTAAAAGTATTGTTAAACTGTAAAGTATTGTTTTTTAAATCTGACATTAACAAAAATTTTGACTCCATAGTTAATTACATAATCCTCATAACATCAATCTTATTTGCAATACAAGAGATGGTTAAAGAAATAACAAAAATACCTTTCATGTGATCGTGGCTGCAAATATCCTCTTGCGAAGTAATTTATACCGAGAACAGAAGCAATCCCTTTACACTCTATACTTCGAAGTAAGTTTTTGAAGCCTACTAAATACCTGCAAGAAAATACTATGTGAATATACTGTGATACTTTCATTATTAAAACAAAAAGCAATATTATATCTTTAAGGTATTCCAGTAATTTGTAAATATAATTTTGGGTCTTATAAAGTATGATCGTACTCAAAGAAAAAGGCGTTCTCTGTTAAGATTTATTAAAGAAATTTATATGATGAAACGCGAAAACATTAAGAAGCTTATATTCTGTATCTAATCTTGGTGGCCGAAATACAGACATTGCCTCGTGTGGCCATCACCAGATTAACTCAAATAAACATAAATTGAAAGTTAAGAAAGTATTTTTTTTTTAACTTTTCTGTTATGTAAAATTTTTAGTTATTTGTTTTTGAATATTTTTATTGTGTTTAATAAATATGTTTTATTTTGTTAATATCAGTGGAAATATTAGAATCATAATTGCACAAAGATTTTATAATTATTTTTATCTAGATTTCGCCCGCACATCCGCCAGTGTGGTATTAAAAAAAAGTAAGTAGCCTATGTGTTCTTCTAGACTGTGCTTTATATCTATGCCAAATTTCATCCAGATCCGTTCAGCCGTTTAGGCTAAAAACTCTAACAAACATTCATCCATCCAAACTTTCGCATTTATAATATTAGTATGATAACTATTTTTGAATAAAATAAAATAATACATTTTAAAAACTATCTCTGTAAATATTCTCTTCGAATAGTTTTGTTGTAAAATACATCGTGCTTTATAGGAATGGTGCTGCAAGCGAGAGGTTTTCTTGGTTCAAATGGTCCTTTGTAGCGACAACTTGCATTTAGTTATGGCTTCAATGTTTTCCTACAAAAATACTATTTTATATTTCTTTACAAGTTTATATTTTTCAGAATTGAATCTAATTCATTCTTACTATATAATAAATGTGAAAGTTTTAGATGGATGGATGTTTGTTAGAGTTTGTAGCCTGAACGGCTGAACGGATTTCGATGAAATTTGGCATAGACGTAGAGGGTAGTCTGAAAGAATAAAAAGGCTACTCATTTTGGTTTTTATTCCCATAATCCTAATGGAGTCGCGGGCGAAAGTTAATAAAATAGTTTTAAAGTCTATTTTGTGATGTTTCAATAAGAGTTCCTTATAATTGCCAAGTTTATAATAGTAGGTTTTCGTTGGCGTTGTTTTCTATTATTAGTTCTTCCAATACTTTGAATGTGGGTTCCAACAATTATGTTTTATTTAAAGCTCGCTGTTCCGACTTCAGACATTCCGACTTCGAAGACGTGCGACTTCATCCGCATGAAATTATGAAAATTTAATTTTATTGTTTAAATGTCTCAAATTATCAATAGCAAATGTGAAAATGACATGACATGATGAGAACTTTGCTTCCTTGATGTTGGCAGCAACTTATGGTCTCTTTCCCACATTAGGGTTTTTATCCAAAATATTTACCCCCTTAGTTTAATGGCGTTAAAATATATAGCCTAAAGCGCGACGCAAGTGTTTTTATCAAATTTTCAATATTCAAATTTATTAAAGGTTTTTATCAGAAATATTTACCCTCAAAGTTTATTGGTGTTAAATTATATAAACTATAGCGTGACGTAAGTGTAGGGCTTTTTATTAAAAAAAAATTATTCAATAACATACTGTTATTGCTGACATCTTAGGCAACAAAGAAGTGTGTGTTTACGCTTTATTATGATAATAGAAAATAGAAATAGATATATAGAATATACAGATTTCATTGAAATTCCCCGATATATTAAATTTTTATTATACTTAGTTTAATTTCTAATACGATAACCGGCGACCCATTTTCTAGTTATGAATTAACTGACGTCACATCTCGATTATTGAAGTTTTAATCGAAGATGTTCATATCCGTCTATATTAGTTAACCTCAATACTCCGCAAATATAGTCATTAAGGATACTTTTTAATATTTTCAACCTATTTTTCTACAGAATATAAAAAATGTCGACCTAAAAAGAATAATGTAGAACAAGATATGAAACGTTAATAATTTGAAATTTAAAAATTTACTATTAACAATTTTTTTTATTAACAATATCTTACTGATTCTAAATTTATTTAATTAAATATTATTATTAATTTAATAAAAGTTAATTAAATATTACTCTATTAAGAGATCTCTCTGTTAATTGGAAACAAGATATTTTATAAGAGATGCTCGTTTATCAGCGGGAATGTTTTATAGAAAATTAACAAAGATAGGTAAAGGGACTAATGAAGTGATTACAAAAATATACCTCCATATAGTACTGCTGTCGGTGTCTTTGATCTCTTTAGTAAGATGGTTGAGTAGCGCCGCGTTCGCGTTCGTATACCACTCCACTGCCACCGTCATCGACTTGCCGGGGTTGATATTATGTCTGAGAAAATATAACATTCTTACTAATATTATAAATGCGAAAGTTTAGATGGATGCATAGAGTCTGTAGCCTTAACAGCTGAACGTATCTCTATGAATTTTGGCACAGATGTAGAGCATATTTTGGAAGAACACAGGCTACTTACTTTTTTTTTAATTCCACGAGATCGGAGTCTCGGGATAAAGCTAGTTTAGTTTAGTTAGCTTATATTCGGTAAATTTTAGACCAAACCGTGTTTTGTTAGTGGAAATCTTTTCTGATTAAAAATAATGAAACGCGAATGTTGGACAATCCTAGTTATATTATAAATGCGGAAATTTAGATGTATGGATAGATATTTTATGACTTTATTTCCGAAACGATTGCGATGATCGGCATAGTTGTAGAGCATAGTCTGGAAGAACACATAGACTATTTTAATTTTTTTAATTCCGCGCAGGAAAAATCTAGTTAAAAATAGAATGTAGATATCTTCAAATCCTAGCTAATATTGAATAAGATGATTAATAAAGGAACTTTTCACAATCTGGTTAGAAACGTGCCCCGGAGCGCGATGTTAGTATTACTGTATTTCCCAGTTTGCAGAATGGAAAGATCCCGTTCAATTTCCACGTGTAATTACTACGTAAGGTTTGTCCACGGTAAAGTTTGTACCACGATCGCACGCCGGCTGTTTATACACGTTTAGGGAACGAATGATGTTTAATTAATAAAAGTTCGAACCTCCCGAGAGAAATTTGTTCTTGTTAGACGATAGTAGAAACCATTACTTACTATAAAGGGAACTGCAAATACTAAAAAATAGATTTCTATTGTCTGCCAAATGCACGCGTAGAAACGCGTTTTGTTTGCGTTTCAGTTACACAGAAATTAATTCCTTAAGTTTTTTATAGTATAAGGTGGCAAACGAGCAAGCGGTCACCTGAATCCACCGAAATGGAAAGAGCCCATAAACTTCCGCAATTGCAGATGCGTTGCCTACTTAATTGACGGAGGAGGAGACGCACATAAGGAGGACATTTTCCCTTTCTATGCGTCTCCTCCGCCGTCAAATCCACTTTTCCTTCCCATCCTTTCCTCTTAAGAAACGTAGACAGAAAGGAGAGGCTTTTAGTAGAAATATTTGTCAATTACATGTAAAGCCACAAATTTGTGAGTTTTTACATTGAAGAGTATTTATCAATAAATTGAATAGACGCAATTAAATTAGAAAATAAAAGAACACAATGAATAAAAACATGTAACATAAAAATTAATTCCCGCTCATTAATAAGTAAATACTGTATTTTTTATGACTCAGACGAAGTCGTAAAGTGACAATCTTGACACACCTTACCAAGTTAAGTGTTTATGAGGTCGCTATCCATTAGCATAAGTTAAGGGTCCATATTTATTACTGTTTTATTACTTTTAATAATTGTAAGTATGTTAACATCATAGGAAGGTCAAAATTTGTTTGAATTTCTTGGATAAAGATATACTTTAAATTTGCAAAGTTACTACGCATATCTAGCCGATATCTGTCGATAGTTCCCACATCCGAGTGCTATTGTAATGTTTCAGAACAAAGAATTGGAATAAATATCACGAGGTAATTATTCATTAGCACTTTCAAGAAGTGCATTGACTAAGCTAACAATGAGTACATACGAGGGTGAATCAAAAAATTCTTGGAATCAATATCAAAAAATGCAAAAATTAAAAATATTAAAAAATTTAAAAAATACTATATATAAAAAAATATTATAAAGTTACATATTAAAAAATATATAATTTTATAATATTATAGAATGTAATAAATATATAATAAAAAATTAAAAAATTTCAATATTAAAAAATGCAAATTTAATTTGAATATCGAACTTGATCCAAAAAGGTTTCATATATATGCACTTCTAAGAACTTTTTGATTCACCCTCGTAAACAATCATTTTGCCACTAACATAAGTCGAAATGGAAACCACAAAATGATTTTTTTTTTCGTTCAATTCTTGTTCAACGCATAGAAATTCCCTTTGTAGAATTTGCCAATTTTCATACCATTGAAATATAAGCATCGAAGCTAATAGTGGATTTATCTGATTGTTGTAAAGCCGTCAATAATACTAACAGCGTACGCACCACGTTTGACTAAAATATCGCACAAATCTTTAGCCACGCTTTGATTTCTATTAATTTTTTGGAGGTTACACGACTCGATTTTAATTTGTGCAGTTGAATTGAAGCAATCCACAATCGCACAACAGTGTGCGATAATTTAGTCATGTGCGCCCGCTCTAAGCCTTGCTACTAGTTGCAGTCAATACTGCACTGCAGCTGTTTTATTTCCATTTATGCGGTTGTTTTGCGTAGAGTTGTAACAGCCTCGTATAGGAAACAAACTCTGACAGAATGCCGTTCACAGACATCACAATTATAATGGAGTAGCGTAGATTTATCGTTAAAACCGCTGTTACATAACATTTAAATGTCGTTTTAGTATTCGGCCGAGACTCACAAATAGGAAGTTAATGCTTTTCCCTTCTGTACTTTAAAGCATAATTACGATTTAAGGTTTACGTGATTCTTTAGGTTCTGTTAAATAAACTTGTGTTTCATAAATCGATAAAACTTAATAGTATTTACTAGTTAGTGTTATGCTTATCCTCTTTGGATAACAAGCGTAATGTTCTTCATAATATTATAATGGAATGTAATGTTTTAACACGGTCACAATAAAGTAATTGACATTTTTTGCTGGAAACCCCCGGAGACAAGGATATTGTATTAAATGAATCATTCATTATGTTTCTGTTATTGTGTGTGATACTGTATTCACAGATATTAGGTTATGTTGACGAAAAAGTGACGATAACAGAATGGGTAAGATCTACAAAGTTGAGAACGATAATTACCTACCCATCAGTTAAACGCTATCAAACACAATCAGTGCAAATAACTTGAATATAGTAAAGAAAGAAAAAAAATTATATCTCTTGTGGCCAGTTTTCTTTGTATCATTCGACACAAAGTGGACAGCGAATTTAATTCTCTGACTTTTTACGTCTCGAAATCCGAAGACCTTGAGTAAAGCTCGATCATATTACTTCGTCTGGTTTTTAGATCGTGAGGGATTTTTTGGTATAAATAAACCTTTTGGAAATTGGGTCCTCATTTCTTTTATCTGAAATTATTCTTAGTCCCATTCGCATGGGCGCTTTTTAACCGTGCTTTAAATAAGCGTTCAAATTACTTGTATTTTTTTTTAATATAGAAGAATATTAGTTTATTTTTGTTAATTTACTCATATTTGTTTTAACCATGCCAACTAAGCTCTGCTTGTGCTAGGATATGGTTCACGACAATAATCGAACTGACTCGACCGCAAGATAGGTAGTCCGTACCCCAAACCGCTAGGCTATTTGCGGTTATGTATGTAAGTACATATTTATTAATACTGCAGTGTTTTTAAACGCGACGCTCTTTTGTCAGGTAGTGTTGTATTTGCAATGGTAGGCGAAAGAAAAAAAAAGGGTGATTTTAAACACATTCTATTGCAAAGACAGTGAAATAATAAAGAAGCTGATTGCGTCCTCATGCTAGAATTTCTATATTCTGTAGACTATACCTATTTCATCATATTGGAGATACTGTAAGCAATACATAGAGGTGTGTCCCCGAAGATAACACAGTTATTTTTTATGACTCATGAAAAATAAATCGCACATAAAATAAATAATGTACTTTTTACGGCCTGTGGAAATTCGGCGACTTCCGCGTCAGTATATTATCAGAAATATTCTATTGTCAAGTTATATTAAATCCACTGATGATGACTTATGTGAAGACTTCGTAGACCGTCAACGTTATTTACCCCGGTGGACGTAAATCAAATTAATTTAGCACACTAGCGCCCCCTGTCTACATCAGTGTCTCAAGATCCTTATCGTATTGTAGTTGTCATGTCTTTTTTATGCCTACGTGTTTTACATGCTTTCTGTTAGAGCTAACCGTGTGAGCACCGCCATTCTACAGGCCAGATAAACTTGTTTGACTACATGTTGGCGCTTAGCCCACAAAAGCTTTGGTCCCACAATAACACTGAAGCAAAGCTAACCTCTATAAATGCGAAAGTATAGATGAATGTTTGTTAGAGTTTACCGCCTAAACTAACAAACGGATCCCAATGAAATTCGGCAGAGATGTAGAGTCTGAAAGAACACATAGTTTTTTTCATATCCACGCAGAAGGAGTCACGGGCGAAAGCTATTTTACTTAAAAATCATACTCGTAAAAGGTTAATTAGTGCGTAAAATTATTCGTAACCCATCAATCGTTTCGGGTTATGCATTCACATATGTGGTATCTTTAGGATTCTCCAGGCACTTATAGTTATGTGTATACATTAATATTCATTGGCGATTTATTACAAAAAATATTCCATTTTTAAAGCTAATGAACATCATTATCGACATCAGTCATTCGTGGTGTTGTAATGACTCTGTAAACACCATTAGTACGATAGGGTGTGACCAGCGAGTAAATTACGACACATATTATTGCTCATAGTTTATTTCTAATTTAATTACCCCTTCTATTTAAAAAGCTGGTCATTATGAGTTTATTAGATTAAGGGCCTGTTCCACCAAATTGTACATTGTCTGATAGATAATACAAATAAAGTATGTGTTGGAAATACCGGATTTTGGTACTTTATCTGACAATAACGTTTAACTTAACGTAACCCAATGGTGGGACAAGCCCTTAACCTGTATATTCAAAAAGTTTCTGTTCTCGTAAAATTTTACTAGTTTTGTTGCACCCTACAATTTCGTACTCCCGTAGAGTTTTATGTGAACCCCAGGGGTGGGAACCCCTAGAGTTAGTTTAATAGTCTTGGATTATTTTAGGGAATATTGGATTAGATATATTAAAATGGTTTACAAGAACTAGGTTTGGACATACATACATATGTTACAACGTACCATTAGAGAAAACATGTGTAAAATTGTATAATTTGAATAATATAACCGTTTATATAATGTTCTATACATTACTATTCAATAACTAAATGAAAGACAGGTAAAGAGGGCGGAAAAACAAAGTCATTATGGATAAAGCTTTCATCGAATTAATTCTGAATTATTCATTTAATGAAATTATAGAAAGTGCTTTACGCGACCATGGAATAGCTTAATGGGTCTACCTCATTGTTAAAGACAGGTTTTAGTTAAAGTCCGAAGATACATTCTTCTTTTTGTCTTATGGTTTTTACATTTAAATAGTCACGTTAAAGGTTATGACAGTATTAGAATAATGCCATACTCCAGAAGAATCGGTCCAACAGATGACCTTTGTTGAGTGAAGTAATTTAAAAGTCATTGACCCAAGACGAATGTAGTATTTTAACACTGTTACCTGTGGTTATTTTTATGTCCCTATCTTATTTCTACATTTATTCAATTACTAGCTTTTGCCCACGACTCCGTTCGAGTGGAATTAAAATAAAACAAAACTGAGTAGCCTATGTGTTCTTCTAGACTATCCTCTACTTCTATACCAAATTTCATGGAGATTCTAACAGCAGTTAATGCTCCCAACTCCAACAAACGAGTTATAAGCAAGAAATAGTATAGTATGATTAGTTTACTTGTAAAAATGTAATGCTTTTAATTTATGCAATAATATTGCGAAGTTAATAACTTCTCCTCTCTTTCGTTAACATTTCCGACATGTTTCTTATTTTCGTCTGACAATCTGTCATGTGCGCTTCGAATTTTATCATGTGTATGCGGATAGGATGTAATTATGGTACTGACGTAAAAAGAAATAGGTAGCTCAAATTCTTAGCTTTGAAAGTATTTTTTTCATTTTGGGGTATTATTACATACTAGGTTCTAACTGAAATTTCGTCCACGTGAAGTTTTAAAAATCTTAGTGTGTTCTTCAAGATTACGCTCTTCGACTACGCCTTTCAGCGAGAACCGTTCAGAGGTTCCTTTTAACAACCATCCATACATCCATCTTAAATTTCCCATTATATTATATTACTACAATAAATGCGAAAGTTTAGATGGATGGATGGATGTTTGTTAGAGTTCGTAGCCTAAACGGCTGAACGAATTTCGATAAAATTTGGCACAGACGTAGAGGATAGGCTGGAAGAACATATAGGCTACTCTACTTTTTTTTTTTAATTCCACGCGGACGGAGTCGCGGGCGATAACTAGTTTATAATATTAATAAGAAAAACACCAATAACATTAATTAACCACAGCAGAAACTTTCGAAGATTTCAAATAAACGGTATAAGAATCTCGAGTTTGTACTCGAGTTTCTTTTAGAGTAAATTTGTTATTATTGAAAATTTTCTCTCAAACCTAATCATCTTTTTCAGTCGCAACTGTCTGTGGCCACATTAAAACTTTTCAAAGACATAAATCATCTGGCAGTCTTCTCGATAACTTCACACAATTTTCTACGCGAAACAACTTTTTCAATAATATTAATGGCTGTGAAGAATTGTAACTGGCCAATTAATTATTAAACGTATCTTTAGTTACTTAAGCATCTCAACACTAATGCTCTTAAATATTACATGTGTGAGATTATGAGTTCGCGCACACCTTCGACTAAACTATCGCACAACTGTTTTGTCTCGGTTTGGTACCTATGAGCTCATATGTGCGCACTCTACTAGATTTTAAGCTGTGCAACTAAAAAGTTGAATTGGTTTCGAAAAAATCGATAATCGCACACAGTTGTGCGATAGTTTAGTCAAAGGTGTTCGTCCGTTCTAAAGGGGGCGTACCTTAAGTCAGCTAATTGAGCGAGGAAGAAACTGCCATCTACAGGTTTGGAGCGGTTCTTGAAGACGAGAGGAGGTAACGTACCCATCTGCTGCACCGCGCTGTCCGTTGCTGCAAACCTCTGCGTTAGATTAGACCTGTAGGGAAGTAGCAGTAAGCATCTGTACAAACATGTTTTTATCTTTGTTTTTATAATACAAATGAGTAGGACAACAGTATTTCTCGTACTTCCACGTTACTTTATTATTGAGGCAAATAAAGTTAACAATCCAAATTGAATTGTTTATGGTCTTTGTCACGGTTCAATTTGCTTAAACAACATTTTTAGTTACTGTTCAGATTTTTTTTGTTAAATTCGCTTCAGATATTATTTGCACTTTTTTCCTGTAGGTCTCCAATTTTCCGGTACGGTTACGGCATTTAGTTCCGGCTTAGGAGCTACTTGACTTTCCTTATTCCGCAATACGAATTTTTTTTATGTATTATTTTAGGCAATGGCAGCTCTAAACTTAATGTGTTTTATCCTTGTCATGTAATTCACAGAAAAACAAAGATAATAGAAATAATTATAGATTTTTTTGGTACTAGCTTTCGCCGGCGAGTCCGTCCGCGTGGAATTAAAAAAACAAAAGTGAATAGCCTATGTATTCTTCCAGACTATCCTCTACGTCTTTACCAAATTTCATCGAGATCCGTTCAGCAGTTTAGGCTGCTAACTTTAATAAACATCCATCCATCTAAACTTTCGCATTTACAATATTAGTAAGATAAAAATTTCGAGTTTCGATAGTGGTAAACAGTTAGACCATTGATCAAAAAATAGACAGAACAGAGCACGAAGCAAGTACGATACAGGTACGACCTAACGGAAATTACGGTTGGAAATCGATTACCAGAAGCTACGCTATGTGGTTACGAGATACCTAAACATTGCAACGTACTGTTAACGTAAAATTTACACTAAAATGTTAGATGTTTAAAATTCAAAGGAGTAATGAAGTCGGTTAAAAATGTAGCCATTTGTTGTATTTCTTCTCCATTTTTGGCTTCATTTTAAGATAATTTTCTGATGATGTCTTCGATAAAATAAGAAAAAGATTAACATAACTACCTTACTATATTTATAGCATATCTTTCTAGCGTTATACTATTCTGATTATTTGGCTGCTATCAAATTTAATCTAATCTAAAACTAATAAATACTTCTGTACCTATACTAATATTATAAAGGTTTTTGTTTGTATTATAATAACTCAAAAACAACTGGGTCAATAACAAAAATTCTTGCACCATCGAAGAGCTACGTAGCCACTGAGTAACATTAGTAACTTTTTTTCAAACTGACGAAGTCGAGAGCAACAGTTAATTATTAAATAAATAGCCCTTTATTGCTCCTATTTTTAAGAATTATGGGTGACAAGAGCTTGTATTCTCAAGCACCTTAATTTTATATTACTTCCTGCCATATTTTAGTGATAAATCATAACTTGTTTGATCAAAATTGATGGGTCTTTTATGCAAATTTTACGATACAATAGTCGCAAATATTACGAATGGTTACTTCCCCAACAACAGTACAGTGAGAAACAAATTTAGGACAAGGACAAAACTATTGGAGCAACTAAATCATTTGAGAAGTTTGTTTTTCTTGCGTTTGTGTTGTCTATTGTATGAATTGAATTGCTCGTACAAGATATATTACTTTAGTTAAGTTATATTATATTTAATTATATGTAAATTTAAACTACAACACCTGTGTAAACATGAGTAGATAAGGTATAGATTTCTCGTGTAAAATCTATCCTAAGGAGTATCTTTAGTGACAAATGTAAGTGCGGTCGTTCTTAAATATCAGTGTAAAATATTGATAACTAGCTTTCGCCAGCGTCGCGGTCAGCGCGGAATTTAAAAAAAAACCTAAGTAGATTGTGTGTTCTTCCATTCTAAATAGTTTAACTAGATTATATTCATTTTATTTTCATTATAAATAGAAAACTTTTGTAATGCACTTAACTTGTTTAATATCAAAGTACTGAGACGTACTAATTTAAAAACTATTTACTCAAGACTTTCAAGAGAGAAGAATTTTCAACTTCAAAAGTTAGTTCTTACGATTGCAGTAACTTAGTTTTCAGAGTTCTGGATACGAGTAATGTAGATTACTCTACTTATATGTATAAAGTATATTATACTTTCTATATATAATAAAATTTGTGTCTGTTTGTCATATCAAAAGAAAAATTCCAGATTTTGGGAAGATGATGTAATTGCGTTGCTGATAACGATAATCGCATTTATTTTTTTTGTCTGTCTGTCCGCAATACCGCTTTTGTCCCGGGTAATCTAAACGCCTGGGTCGCTTTCACTGAAGGGTAGCTGACATAGGCATATTATAAGCTACTTTTTTTATCTTAATATAGCGTGGATGAATTCGGGGGCAACAGCTACTCATTAAAACAAATAACATGTCAAATATACTTTAAGATGTCTATATGATCTGATGATTTCATTTGAGAGGTGTCCCAGTATGATTGGGTTTCCATTTCATTGAATATTGTCGGGCCCTGCTATATGGGTGTCGGTTAGATATGACGTCACTGTATACAGATGTCTATGGTGAGTTCATCACCAGCTCACTATACGTCCCCATTGAGGAGCTTGGAGTTCTACCCTTAGTTATTGACTTAAATACCCATTTTTTTCTTATTTACCTTCAAATAATAAAAATTATAATTATTCAAATATTCTAATAAATGCTGTATATATTGTTTATTCTGAAAATAAACGATGTGAGCAAATAGAAAATGAATTTAGAAAGAAATTGGTTTTTTTTTTCTATAAAATCTGGGCACAGTTATGCTGGAGTTTATGATGGTTGACAATTGGTTTTCTTTTACAAAATTTTACGAGATAACACGTGAACAGAGATGTGAATGTTCGATTTAATGCCATTCATAAAAGGACGCGATCATTTCAATTGATTTAACAAGTAACATGGTACATTGACGGCGTTAATCTCAAATTCATCATCATCATCCACTTGCCCTTATCCCTTACGGAGGGTCGGCACAGTATGTGCTGCTCTTCCATACATCTCTATCAGCCGTCATATCTGAATCCACTCCTTTCTTTAGCATATCCTCTAATTTCAAATTGACTAGTAATAATTTCTTTAAAATTTAAAAATATTAAAAAAGAAAAACATTTTCGTCCTGAACAATAATTGCAGTTCTCAAACTTAGCAATAAAAGTTGGAACCCTGGAGTATACCAACGAGAAAATCGTAACTGAAATTAGAAAATAGAGTGAAAGAACAAAGTTTTGTTTACACATTTATGTATGACAGTGTCGTTTGAGAGCATGCGCACCCCTTTGACTAAACCATCGCACAACTGTTGCGCGATTGTCGATTGTTTCGCAATCAAGTCAAAGGTTTAATTGAACAATTTAAAATCGAGTAATGTGCGCACCTCCGTATTAGATCATAGTAATTAAAGGACGACTAAATAGTTGTGTAATAGTTTAGTCAAAGTTGTGCGCGCTATAAACAGTTCATGGATATTTTCAGCCGGGAGTAAAGTGCTATTTTAACAAAGATAAGTAAATGAACTTTGTATAACTTGTTTCAAGTTGTGGTCCAAAACTTGTATATTATAGTTTGGAATTCTTATCGTGTAGAAACTGCGTTTGCGATATAATTAAATCTTAACTTCTTAAAGTTAATGACTTTTCTACAGTTAATAAAAAAATCTTTTATTCTTTGTTGCTAGTGATGAATATGGGCTCACGTCCTAAACTATTTTTTAAAAAGCAAATAGATTTCTTCTATTGTTTCCTGTGTATTTATTGAAGATTTTACGAGCAACAATCCTTATTTAAAAACCATTCTATCACAAACAGTGGAATTCTTTTTTTAAATTTGCAGTCATGTAAATCGAAGAAACCCTGTTGGACGTGACGAGAAAGGCAATACAAGGATTTAGAACAGATTGGAATACTTTCTGTTCTTCTACACTTTTAATAATAAAGGGAGGTCGTAGACACTGACAAAATTACGCCTATAACCCAGAGGTTCAGACAGATATTACGCATTTCCATTTGTTAAGTTTTGCATCACTGAAAAATAATTAAAACACTATTTATTTGTTGATCTCATCTTACCAATATTATAATTGTGAAGTTTGGATGGATGGATGTTTGCTAGAGTTTGTACCCTAAAAGTCAACGGATCTGGATGAAATTTGGCATAGATGTAGACGATAGTATGGAAGAACACATAGGCTACTTGCTTTTGTTTCTATTAATACCTCGCGGACGGAGTCGCGGGCGGAAGCTAGTAAGGGATATTCTTACCGCAATGTACTGCCGTTGGTGAAAATAAAGAAAGCGACTTCTGATCTTTCCTGCTGTAGTCTGGTCACCAATTTTCCGAGTTCTGTCGCGCGGCTGACCTATGGAAAAGCAGTTTAATGTTATGGCTATGAATTTATGTGTCAAGTTATGTTTTTTCGAAGTCTTTACAAACATATATGATACATAACTAAGGACCTCATCATCCACTTGCCCTTATCCCTTATGGAGGGTCGGCACAGTATGTGCTGCTCTTCCATACATCTCTATCAGCCGTCATATCTGAATCCACTCCTTTCTTAAGCATATCTTCCTTCACACAATCCATCCATACTTTCTTCGGTCTTCCTCTTCCTTTATAGCCATCCACATTCAATCTCAACACTTTCTGGTTTCTAAAGACCTATCCCACCAAATTGTGAATAGTCTGAAAATTATCCAACTTGTAAAATATGTGATGGAAATATCGGATTTTCTTCCCTTATCTGACAGTGACGTCATTTTTAAGCTATCTGAGCCTCTATCAGCCAGTGGTGGGAAAGGTCCTAAATGTAATTGGTGAAGTATTTCCTACCTCAAATATTAATAATAAATAACTAAATAATTAATAATTAGCAAATAACTAATAAATTTATATTTATTTGTATCTATAGGTTTATTGCTTAAAATAGTTAGCAAGGTATTATTATCATAATTTACATAATAATTTCGTCTATTAAAGTATCATATTATAATACTTGATATGCTATTTTAAGTTTATTGGCCTTCACTTTAGTAACTATAGTAATTTATTTAAATCCATCGTAAATTTTCCTTAGATTAAAGTTTAAATAAAAATCTATCGGTCGTCCATAAAGCTGGCTTAATCGCCCCATTGTAATTAAGTGACTCTTCAATCACTAGACTCTAAAAGAAAATGTATTCCGTTCTTGGAAAAACCCATAAATTTTCATGAATGTCTGTTTCCATAGTAGTGGAGGCGTTACAAAGAGTAACGAAAACTCAGACAGCGATTTTAAAAATGTTTAGGAATTATATACAACATTCTTGCATCTGTAAAAAAATGGAGATTCAAATGTTGGTTAATTTTGGTGATTTCTTTTAATTTAGTATGTAATATACTAGTTACCTATTTTTATCATGCCGTATTAAAAACTATATAAATTATAAAGAGATTAGGTAAAATGTATAACAAAAATGTCTATTCTAGTGAGAAAGTCTATGTTTATAGATATCTATGAAAGATTAAATTAAAAAGCCAACTCTGCCAGACATTTTAGTCTGTGGTCTGTCCGATGTCTGACTGGTCTGGCCGGTGGGAATTGACAGTGCATAATTAGAATTTTTATTTTATGAAAAAACAACGTTGGATTTACGAGCGCGCGCACACCTTTGACTAAACTATCGCACAACTATTTCGTCTCGCTTTGATTCCTATGAGTTTATACGGAAGTGTGCACGCTACTCGATTTTTAGCTGTGCAACCAAATAGTTGAATTGGCTGCGAAACAATCGACAATCGCTCAACAGTTGTGCGATAGTTTAGTCAAAGGTGTGCGCCCCCTCTAATAGTTTTAAAAAACTTAAATGCAATACTTATTTGTATAACAATTGTAAAATGTAAATAAAAAATACCTGTTCTTCAACATCGGCGACTTCTCTACCGTTAGTTAGACTATTCTTCAATGAGAGCGTGGTCTGCACAATGAGGGCTAGGATGGGGATGAAAGGAAGCAGCAGGAGGCGCCAAAGCTGACAGCGCCGGCTGCGGCACCAGCGGCGCAATTTCACACCCAAGCTGGGCGCTTTACCTTCCAGCTTAGAGTCCGTGGGTGACGCTAAACAGAGAGCTTGGTTAATTTTGTTAAATTTTAGAAAGCGAGTTTCTCGACCTTTATAATAGATTGTTAATTCATTGCATAACGTTACTGTTGTTTAAGATTGGAAGTATAGATGATTCCACGTATCTTTAAAGCGGCCTCACGGGTCATTTATTTAACAAAGATGTAGAACACTGTATGGAAGCACAAATAGGCTACTTATTACTATTATTTTATTTCGCTCGAATTAAATCAATGATGACGAAGATCAACAAAATTGCGGACAAAACCCTAACAAGTTGGTCGATTCATGCAATGAAATGTTTTTGGATTATTCGCAACCGTCACCGCGCTGGTCCCCACGTGAGAATAAACAGTTTCACCCGTCCCACCTTTTAGTCCTACTATCACCAATAAGGTGACAGATGGAACCGTTATGAAGTAAAATACGTTACCACCGTACCCTTGTCGCAAAAGGTGGGACGGATGAAACTTTTTATTCTCATCTGTCTCCACGTGGGGACAGAGCGGGGTGACGGTTGGGAGTAAATGTTAAAAATTATTTCTTTTATGCATTACACTTACTTTGTTTTAAGGGTATAAGTCGAGTATTAGTTATTAGCAAATTTTATATTTTATAATTATAAAATCGATCCTGGCTTACAAGCTATCAACGGTCATATGTTATAGCTGGTTATGTTGCCATAACATCTCCATTGAAACGCTATCGAAAACGTGCAACTGCATTGAAAACGTGTTTTACCTCACGTGTTAAAGCATAACCAAAGTCTATAGTTATATGAGATGTTACCTTCTAACGGTTACCTTTGCAGATAATAGTCGTTTTAAATTGTAGAACAAGGCTATCCTCGTTAACTCTAAATTTTATACTAGCTTTCGCCCACGACTCCCTTCGCGTGGAATTAAAAGAAAAACAAAAGTAAGTAGCCTATGTGTTCTTCTAGATTTCTCCTGCGTCTATGCTAAATTTCATCTAGTTAAGATGGATGTGTGGAGTAACACGATCGGATAAGATACGAAATGAGTATATTAGAGGAAGTTTGAGAGTAGCCCCAGTGGTTAAGAAAATAAGGAGTAAAAGGTTAGAGTGGTATGGGAATGTTATGAGAAGGGAGGAATCGCATGTAACAAAAAGGATGTTAGTTATGAATGTGGAGGGGTACATCGGTAGAGGTAGACCTAGAAAGAGGTGGATGGTTTGCGTAAAAGGTGACATGATCAAGAAGGGAGTGATGACTGAGATGAGGGATGATAGAGTGCTTTGGAGGACGAAAACCCGGTGCGCCGATCCTACGGGAGTAGGATAAGGCAGGGGAGATGATGATGATGATCCGTTGAGCTATATAAGCTACAAACTCTAAAAAACATCCATTCATCGATCTAAACTTCCGCATTTATAATATTAGTGACATAATAAGACTACATAATGTATAAAAATTTACGTCAGTATTTTTTAGTACATTTTTAGCAGCATTCACATGGTAAAACAAAAATAAAATATGTGATAAAAAGACACATAGTGTATGTGTCTTTTTATCACATATGTTCACATGTTCCTTATTCTACCCATTTGATTAAACGGATGTCAATATTCGTAGTCCCTCAATATATATAGAGCTAAACTGTCCGATAATAAAGGGATTTAGTGAGGGTACGTAATAGCAGGGAAATAAATCGTTTTCCCGGTTTTAAATTAGACAATTAACAGAAAAGCTAAAGCATGTTTTTTTGCTAAATGCATTTTATCTTTTGAACTCAATTAAAGGATACCAAATATAAAACTTATTACAATATTTTTACTTGAAAATGAAACCATGTTCTCTTCTGTAACACATTATTTTCTCGTTGTTTAAATGTTAAGTAAAATCTTCTTAATTTGCTGATAAAACATACTATTTACAAGAATTGGTAAAAAAGCACTTTTAAAATAAAAGAAATCGTTGTTATATCGTTTACTTCACATCTTACATTCACATTCGCGCGTAAAATCCTCGTTGCTTTTTTTTATAACAATTTTGTCTATTGTTTTCTTTGCGGCCAGCACGTTACTAAATATTCATCCTCAATATTTTTGCAACTTAAACAATTATAATTTTATATTTTACTTTTTTATAAAACATGTTAATATTAAGTCTTAATATGCTTTTACTTTTAAATCAATGAAAATGTATTTATAATTGTTGTCAGCGCCATCTATTATCAACTATGCGTAACCAAACATAATGAATAAATCGAAACATACATAATGTTAAAAATTGCGTTCTTACAGCTTGTTTACATTATAAATCCATTATCCACTTACCTTTTGGCTAGAGAGTAACCAGTAAGTACTGAATAATAGAGGATATTTTCTATAATCTATCCGTCGAGTCCTGGCAGTTATCCAAAATTTATAACACATTGTGTCGCATCGCTTTATGCAGATAATATTGTGAATATAGTAATAATAAAGTTAAAGGATTGTTTTGTTTGTTATAATTATATTTCTATACCATACTAAATAAGAGAAAAAATTAAGTAATTTAAAAAGATTTCTATCAATGAGTAAAAGTACTCCATTGATTTTTTTAATCTGCAGTCATTGTACTTTCGAAATATAGATAGTAAACAGTTGTATTTGGTGTGAAAATTCTCTTTACAATGGGCCTCGCGTATTGGCAGTACGCCATGCTGCAATGCAACAAAATGAATTTCGTCGGATGTCGTTTTAACTTACGTTCGATTGTAGCTTTTATTTATTTACAATGAAAAGTATTTTCAAACTTCACAAAAATAATCTTATCTAAGCCTAAATAAATATTTTTACCATATACACATTGTGTTAAAAAACATATAATATTTATTCATTTTATTTCACATAATAAATAAAAGCTTTCTAAGTTTTTTTCATACAATTTTATAAGAATTTGATGGTAAAAAAAAAAACCTCTTCAGTTTGTTTCTAACGCTATTGTAGGTTACTATAGGTTTAAATCGGATACATGAACAAAATAAACTATGACCAGAGCATAAGTAAAAAAAAATAGTAACTTGAAACTCGAAAAAATTGTAACAAATTGACAAAATATATTCCGTTGGCACACTAGCCATATTTTTAGAACTTTTTAAAATCTCATAAAAGCAGCCGGGATGTAGTTCAGTCCGATGCAATCCTTTCAAAGTTTAAATCTAGTTACTAACTACGTCGGGGTAAGGCTGTTCCCAATTATTACATAAAATGTTTTGTTACTATTTCTATTCGGCATACTCTTGATTTTTTGACATACTATCACTTAAATGATGTCTGAAATTTGACTTAACTTTGTAAGCAAATCTCCACATTCCTCTTACTAACATAGTAAATGTGACAGTTTCGATGGATGGATGTTTGTTAAAGCAGCCTAAACTACCTAACGGATCCCGATGAAATTTGGCACAGATGTAGAACAAACTTTGGAAGAACACATATGCTACAAGGATATAATTCTGCACAGACGGAATCGTGGACAACAGCTAGTTTAACTCATGAATACAACAATCCCTTTAGCTTAGCTATCTATATTTCACAAATAGCCTCTTCTAGTGAAACGTTTGTTTATCAAATTGAAGTCAACGTTCAGTTGGTTATTTAGAAATTACGACACATGTCAATAACATCTACTTAATATTCATAGAGTCCAGAATTTTCGATTAGTCCTTCTGTCGGAGATTATGATGGGCTATAAATTACTCTCTTACTGCTAATAATGGAACGACAAAACAAAAGGAAATAATGATAACCTACAAAGCTTTGTGGAATGAAATAACTGTATTAATGCAATTTATTGAAGAGTGATTCGAAATTTAAAAATGGAAGATTCAGTCAATTGACTTTTAAAGGAAGTTATCGGTAGGTATGGTAGGTTAAGGGTTATTTTCTTCTAACACACTAAATATATAATGTACTCTTGCTTCGTCAACTCGCCAACTGGGGAGCAATTTGTCAGCAGCACGTGTTGGAAACTTGCCAACATAGACGGATGTACTGGTTACAAATTGGACGTATCAACATTAATGGGGATTTTACACGAGTTTACTATTGTTGGAAACTAAGCACCATTTGTATAATCGACGAATCAAAAAATTGTCGTTACGGTTACTAGCATGTCCTTAATTACTGTACTTAAGAAATCTTATGGTCAAGGAATTCTGACAAGATTTATTACGTGACATAAACCTATAGGACAGCCCTTTAAATAATAATTAAAAGACTCTGTAATTTCCATCATAATTCAAGTGTTGTTTAACATAAATGTATTATGTTGGTTACCATTAAATCAATTGGCCATAGTGACTTGATGTTTGCATTTAAGACAATCAAACTAATATTATAAATGCGAAACTTGGATGGATGTTTGTTAGAGTTTGTAGTCTAAACTGCTGAATGGATCTTGAGGAAATTTGGCATAGATGTAGAGGATAGTCTGGAAGATCACCTAGGCTATTCACTTATGATTTTTTTTATTTCATTTTGTTTAATAAATCCCAACAGTAGGTATTGTAAACAATGCAACTAAAAGTCATTTATATATACGACATGTTCGTTGACGCAAATGAACGGTCAACGCGCTCGGAAGTTTCCGTGTTAAATGCAAATGATGCTTCACACATGTTAACATTTACTAAATTAAAATTAAATACAGTTTTTAGTCAAAGTTAAATATTACTCTAATAAATATGTAGCGGTCGCAAGTGATCAAGGTTTGTGTCCATTTCGAGAACAATTTTTTTGTTTACTTTTCAACTTTTGCCTTTGCCTATACTATCGCAGAACTGTTGTGCGATTGTCGATTGTTTTGGCCAATTCAACTGATTAGGTGCACAAATAAAAATCGAGTAGAGTGCCCACCTTCACATACGTACTGTTAAGAACAAAATTACTACCGTGTTGTAGAATTGGCGCATAGATTATCGGCATAAACGTCACGTCTCTAGCTGACAGCTGTAAATGTCACTAGAAGTATGGATAGATTTGGCGCGCATCCTAAGTCCTGACGAGAAGTGTTGCTCTGACTTTAAAGCAACAGTAACACTTAAATAAGTTGTCTAAAAGTACATAGGAAGCAAAGCGAGACTAAATAGTTCCGATAGTTTAGTTTTTTTTCCAATCGCAACCTATACCATGTCATCCTTACTGATTTTTACTTGATTAAAAAGCTTTTTTTATATAGAAAAAAGATGACTAACGAGGGAATTATTAGTGTACAAATGCAGCGAGCATTCATAATTTGATTGTCAAACGAACTTTTACAATTGCTGACATCTTAGTCAACAAAGAAGTGTGTGTTTACGTTTTATTATAATAGATAAAATCAAATACACAGATTATTCAGTAGCTAATCATTATGCTACAGAGATTTTTAATTTAACACCCTTTAATTAACTTTGGTGAGATAAAAAAGGATTTATTACTTTGTTATATGCGTTCCAGCGGAGTTTATGAAACTTTTTAATTGCTTTTTTAAAAGACATGCTTTAAATTGGAAAATATTGCCCTCAGGTTGACAATTACGATAAAACTATAAGATTTAAGCAATTTAACATCAGATACAGAAACGTTTTCTTCGTTTTTTTCTTCGTTTTCGAATTTCTTCGTTGATATGTGCAGGCATCACGATGTTTTCCTTTCAAGAACGTCGGGTAAATTATGTACATATGGAATCGAAAATATTATTGGTACATGACGGGATTCGAACCCAAGATTTGTAGATTACAAGTTAAGACCTCAAACTCCTTACCGAAACTCCAAACTTAAATTGTTAAAAAATAATGTTAACAATAAAGTCTACTAAAGTTACATTTAAGAAACAATATATGTAATTCTATTGATATTTTGATAAAGTTTTCTTATTCATGAAATCCGAAGTATTTCGCAAACTTTTACTGTATTAAAAAGTAAACTTAGCACAGACAAAAAAGCAATCTGTAGTTTAAATTTATCAAGTCAGATGTAGCCACTAAAATTTTATTCATACCCATAAAGTTTGCTGACAAAAGATCTTTTGAATTACAAAAAAATCCTCCTATCAAAAAGATGCTCTCTCTAGACAAATAAAAAGTTAAGTTGGTTGTTGACTTTTTTATAACTTCAGCTTTAAAATAACTTAATATAACGAACAATGGTAACAGAATCATTAAAAATATGACCGTACTATCATTAAACTAATCATGAGTATGTATTGACATAACTAAAAAACTACTGGGCCGACTTTAAAACTGTTTTTAAGCTAAGAATTTTAATATTCTTTCACCATAAAAAAGGTAATTTATCTGTGAGTAACATAGGCTACATTTTTTATTGGTTTTTTTTCTTGTGGGCGAAGTCAACAGTTAGTTTGCTAACAATTTCGTTTGTATATTTATTTCAAAAGATAAAACGAGTCAGCAATTTACTTTTATAACTTGAACCAAACTGTAAACATTTTAAAGTTATACTAGATTTTGCTTTTAAAAGTTGTAATATAGTTCTTGGTAAGGATAATAAAAAAAACAAATATTTTCGTCTTAATGATACTGAATATTGAAAGTTAAATTTAATAAATTATTAATATTACATTAGAACTTAAGACAGAACCCTTTTTCTTCCCACCCTTTTTCATAAGAATAGGATAGGAAGGGAACGTGAATTTGACAGTGGAAGAGATAGGAAGGGGAAATATCCTCTTTATGTGCGTCTCCTCCTCCGTCGATTAAGTGTAGGCAACACATCTGCTATTGAATGTCTATGGGCAGCGGTCGCTTCGCCATTTTGATGGATTCAGGTGGCCGCTTGCTAGTTTGCCAACTCATGATACAAAAAAGGTATCTTAATCAGTCTACACTGGTATTAAAACGAGGAAATATTCATAAGAAGTTGTATTTTTGTATTTAACGAATAAATTCAAAATCTGCTGAACTGACGTAAACATTTTTTTTTACTATCAAAAACTATTTACCGAGTAACATAGACTGTATACCGCTAGTTAGACATAAGCGACGAAACTTCGGTTTGTAATCAAGAATTATAAATGCGAAAGTTTAGATGGATGTATGGGTGTTTGTTAGAGTTAAGTAACTTCGTATAGAGTTAAGAAATTTCGTATCGATGTAGAGAATAGTCTGGAAGAACACATAGACTCACTTTTGTTTTTTTGTTCCACGCGAACGGAGTCGCGAGCGGAAGCTAGTCAAGCGTAAATTATAATGCGGAAGTTTGGATGGATGGATGTTTGTTAGAGTTAGTAGCCTAAACGGTTGAAATTATTTCGTCGAAATTTAGTATAGATGCTGAGGATAGTATTGAAGAACACATAGGCTACTCAATTTTTTTTTAATTCCATGCAGACAGTCGCGGACGAAAGCTAGTCAAGCATAAATCTATTTGTTATTAGAGTTAAAAATAGATCATAAGGTTTCTATTGAATAATATGTTGTTGTTGTAATTGTAAGGTAAGTTGAGTGAATTAATAAATCTTCTAATTGTGCGTAGAGATGTGAGTTTTCATTGACGAAACACTTGTACAAAAGTCTAGCCATTGTATTCATTACTAGCTGTTTCCGTGCGGCTTCATCCGCGTGAAATTATGAAGATTTTTTTTTATTGTTTACATTTTTATTATCAAAAGCAAATGTCAAAATGACATGACGTGACATGACAAACTATAGCAATCTTTCTTTCTTGATGTTGGCAGCGATTATGGTCTCTTTCCAACATTAGGGTTTTTATCCAAAATATTTACCCCTTAAGTTCAATGGCGTGAAAATATATAGCCCAAAGCATGACGTAAGTGCAGGGCTATTTATTAAAAAAAGGATTATTTAAAAATATGCTGTAACTGCTGACTTCTTAGGCAAGAAAGAAGTGTGTGTTTACGCTTTATTATAATATTCATTATTTATGAAAAAGAGAGATAACAATATGAAAGGACTAGTGCATGTCAAAAAATATTTGCACATTTAAAGTCAGCGTGACTAAAACCTAAAAAAGCTGTTTCAGATCTAAGTATCGAGCATTGACTCACCCATTGGACGCGTTGTTTTTCGACCTAGATGCAGAAAATTATAGTTTGTAAACAAATGTACGTTATGCACTAAGTTCGCGAGGCGTTCAGGCGCCACGTCCACCCTCCTCGAGGGCTGTAGTCGAACTGAACGGAGGCTGTACCGTGAAGTTCGAAGGAACAGGCGGCCAGACATTCTACTTCATACACATTATAAACACCAATTTACTATGAAATAAACAAAATCGAATAGTGTGAAATAATGAGAAAATTACTTATTGTGAATGAAAACATCGTCAAGCAACTTGCACAAATCTGTTAAGGAATTCAAAGATGTGTAAAGTTACCTCGTACTGGGCCACCGTGGTTGACTATGCCCTAGTCTCCCCAAAAAGCCTCTCGTTAGAGTCGTTTAGAGATCTAATGTTGACGATTATTGACTAAAGACATCGTAAAGTAGGCTAAAACTTCAAGGAGCATCAGCGAAATTGTAAGCAGAGATTACAATAAATCTTCAATTAAAGTAAATGAAATTTTAATGTTAAGATTAAGTATCTCATACGCGAGGAGTCTCATAATTTGAGAACGCTAAAGTATAATGTGTGTACTAATTGATTCAAAGCACAGTGTAGTTAGCAATAGAGCGATAAAGATTAATTTAGAAGCAACGTTGACGACCGAAAGTTCGTTCGAAATTCAAAATAAACCAAAAAAAAACTAGTTGAACAGCATTAAAATTAATTATCTTAATGACTTTTGTAAGATTATTTAACATATTTTATTGTTTGCATGAAGTTTGCACATTGTTATTTTCAGAATATAAACAACTATTACGTTTATAAATGTGTATTCTAGATGGCCGGAGTGAATACAATACTCCTTTGTGGTACACCTGTCCGTTAGAACAAAGAGAATACAAATCAACATTACTACTGGCTTCGATAGATAAAGTCGCCAATGTCATACGACTGATGGAAACTGTATTTCATTTCATTTATCTATATTAACATTTTCCTTTGATCATTTTAAACAGTACACTCTGTTGATAATTAACCTGTACAAAATGACATACTGTAACGTAATTAATTTCGGGTCTGTTTGAGAACGAAATCCTGAGATTCGTATTCATGTTATACTGATTATTTACTTTGAAAGAATCTGGTAATATTGGAATAAATAATTCATTCGTATGGTAAAAGTATGAATTGAGATAGAGTTGAATGACCGAGTATATACTAGGATGTATTAAGCCTTCGGGGTCGCGGACGACAGCTAAGTTTACCCGTGGCCCTAGCCAATGCGCTGGAGGAACCGAGGATTTTTTTTAATACACGTCCACCCCTTACTTCCTAATCGTCAGAGACGGAACCGAGGGGTTTAGTGGGTATGCCTCACAAGAGGAGAATCTCACATAACTGCCCCCCCCCCCGGGACGGCAGTATGCATAAAGCATTCCCCTCGGGCAAACAAAAGGCTGTATTAAGCCTAGGATATAACATCATATAATAATAAGAAATTGGATTAAATAGGAATTTATGTTTGCTTATTACTATAGCCAGGTTATTTCTCAGTGTAAGTCACTTACTAAAACTTATCTAAGTAATATTATAAATGCGAAAGTTTAGATGGATGGATGTTTGTTAGTTTGCAGCCTAAACGGCTGAATGGATCTGGATTAAATTTGGCATAGATGTAGAGCAGAGTATTGAAGAACATATATGCTACTTACTTTTTTAATACTACGCGGACAGAGTCGTGGGCAATATCTAGTGTTATAAATAAAAATGCACTGTAAAACTGTATTATCCTTATATTTCTAATATTTACAAAATCGCGAAAAATACTTTCTACTAATGCAATAAACATAAATAAAGTTGGAGTTGTAAATAAATTAAATTAAAGTTTTTTCTTGTAAACTCGAAAGGATCAATAATCAAGTCCATAGAAACAATTTCATGAAACATTAACTTTTACTGGATAGCTTGGTATTCGTAATGCTAACTTAAACTTAATAGTACAATTTTATTCAAATTGATTTACGATAGTTTATACAACTTTAAAATCTTACATTAAGATATTAATAAAAACCTAATAGCCATTAATATTTACAAATAATGATTAAAGTACTTCTACAAAAAACAATCATTACACTAATAATACTTTCAGAGTAAGAGCGCACGTAAATCGTTGACTAAATTATCGCATAACTGTTGTGCGATTTTCAATTGTCATTTCGCAACCAAGTCAACTGTTTTATAGCACAACTAAAAATCTAGTAGTGTGCGCACCTCCATATAAGTTCATGAATCAAAGCGCTACTAAACAGTGTTAAGTTTCAGGCGTGCGTAGCTCTTAAAATAAATTTAACGTCAAAACATATTCAACTAGATTTAAAACTGCTATTAATTACTACACGTGATTTAAAACATATTGTTTGCATTTTGCATTGAATAATGTCTTAATTTTTCACTAATTTTTTTTTATAACATAAGGTGGCAAACGAGCAAGCGGCCACCTGAATCCGCCAAAATGGCGAAGCGACCGCTGCCCATAGACAATCGCAATTGTAGATGCGTTGCCTACCCTTATACAACGGAGGAGAAGACGCACATAAAGAAGATATTTCCCCTTTACTATGCATCTCCTCCGCTGCCAAATCCACTTCACACACAGAGGATGGGAATGGTCCCATCCTCTCCTTATAAGAAAAGGGTGGTATAGAGAAAGGGACTTAAATTAGGCCTCCGGCACCACACTCATCAGACGAAACACGGAATTGCTTCCATTTCACGCCTGTCTTCTGTGTAGTCGTGGTATTACACCGGGCGTGCCGGCCCTGCAGTGCTAACATGTTAAAGCGGGCACTACCACTACAAAAATTACACTAACATTCATTTTACTTAAACATAATTTTTAACTTATAACTTGGTCACACATTTTTCAACGTGTATAGATTGAGAAATCACTAATCAAAGTAACATATAACAGAAATCTCTGGACTCACAATGAGACTCAAACTCAGGATAAAACTCAAAACTCATACTCAGAACTCACAACTGCGACTCATAATTTACAAGAAGTGTAACCGGGACCGATGCAGGCAGCAAATGCGATCGCATGTGGTATAAAATTCTGTTCGTAGTTCCCTGTAAAGAGGTGTGACCAAGGCCCCTTAGCGAATACCGCTACGTCTTCACCGCCGTGAGTCTCTCGTGATATTGGTACTAAGGAAGGGTACGTGAAGTCGGGATTGTCTGGAAATATAACAGTAGTATTTAGTAGATTATAGTAATTTTATAAGGAATTTTGAATTAGATAGGTATTAAACTAGTATTTAGAATGTCGTAAATTGTAAAAAAAACTGCCAATATAAGGAAGCAAGGTTATTATTGTAACGGTAATTTTGACATTTTCAATTGAGAATTCAACAAATGTAAACAATAAAATAAAGTTTTTTGTAATTTCACGCGGATGAAGCCGCATGGGAACAGTAAGTTTATGAATATTTTTCTTCTCAATCAATTATAGTTATCTCGTTTGCAAATTATGCAATTAATTGGCTTTAACTTACTCATATCGTCCATCATAAGATTGTGTCTTTGAAATTTCTCGTGCGGCTTGTAGCCCGGCCCGTTGGCATAGCTAAGCGTCGTATACGGCAAATTGTCTGATGCATTCAACTGAAAACACACAAATTACATTATTCAATATAAGAATACTACTGTTCTCATGCGACTTCATCATCCACTTGCCCTTATCCCTTATGGAGGGTCGGCACAGTATGTGGTGCTCTTCCATACATCTCTATCAGCCGTCATATCTGAATCCACTCCTTTCTTAAGCATATCTTCCTTCACACTTTCATCCGCATGAAATTATGAAAATTTTATTTTATTGTTTACATTTGTCAAAATGACATGACATGTTGACATCCTTGCTTCCTTGATGTTGGCAGCAATGTATGGTCTCTTTCCCACATTAGGGTTTTTATCCAATATATTTACCCCCTAAGTTTAATAGCGTGAAAACATATAGCCTACAGCGTGACGAAAGTGTAGGGCTTTTTATTAAAAAAAGAATTATCCAAAAATATGCTGCAATTGCTGACATCTTAGGCAACAAAGAATTGTGAGTTTACGCTTTATTATAATAGTATAGAAGTATAGATCATTTATAAGAATATGTATAAAGTATAGTCAGATTTGTTATGATTTGTGGTACTTGTACAGTAATTACAATAGTTAAGACTTGTTATTAAAATGTTTAATAACAATTAAAGAGCCAGAAATGTTGTCAATTACGAAACATTGAAATGAAAACGGTAGTGTTGAAAGATAGAATTGAAAACTATTGCATAATTTATTATTCGTGGTTGTATAATATAATTAAGATTCCAATTACAACTGCTTGTTAAATATCCTGTTTGTGCTTTGGGTTTTATTATTTTAATTGGAAAGGAAGTAATATTGATTTAACTTTGTAGGAATGCGCAATTATTAGTTACTTTGAGATTATGGAATTAACGCTATCCGTGTTTTACGATTAATAATTTTACCTATAGGTTACAATTATGGTTACATTTTAGCCTCACATTTCTAATTAGTAACTGCTTTAGGTTATGTTTAAATTTAGGTATAAGAGAGGTCTGGGTTTAATATTGAGAAAAGAAAGTGTTTGTATACATACTCTATTAGTAAATCCTAATATATCTGTCCCACGTTTGCTGTATCCACTATACGTCATAGTATGGCTATGGTCTGACGTCACGATAACCAGGGTCTCCTCAGGATTCACCATCTTGATGGCTGCTTCAACGGCCTTGGCTAATTCAGCTGTCTCGTCCAATGCCTTACGTGCCTTTGTCTCGTGATGAGCAGTGTCAATTCGTCCACCTTGCATTGAAAAGTGATATTTTTAATAATGTAAGTTAATATTATTGCTTACAAAAGTTTACATAAACAGATTATCTTAGTTTTATAAATTTTCAGTTAAACGCCTGGCGTTTTATGATAGCAAAATATTTTAACGACTGAATAGTGGTTTTATTTTTTTATTAACGCAACAATTCTGCTCACAAAAAAAGGAAATAAGAGTGTTGAAATAAAAATGTAGCAATCAAGCGAAATAAAAACTCTATTACGTCATTATAAAATGGTCTCCTTAGTTCAAAGTTGGGAAAATGAGATATAAATAACAAACGTTAATTTTAATTAACTTTGCAACTCCCGTATGGTCTAGTGGCTAGGATACCTGGCTTTCACCCAGGAGGCTCGGGTTCGATTCCCGGTACGGGAAATTTTATTTTACTTTTTTTAATATCAATAATTGCAAAAGCGATACTTAATTTTATTAGGATGGTTTTTTTTAATATTGTACATCAGAGAAAAAGACAGTATAAAAAAAATGTACAAATGCTGATATTTTCTGCTTACCTTCAACAAAGAGGAAGAAACCATTTTTATTAGCTGACAGCATTTGTATAGCTCTTTGAGTCATTTCACTTAGAACTGGTACATCTTCAGCCGCCTCCAAATGGTATGGTAAATGATCGCTTGCGAAGAGACCCAATAAACTATCGTATGCTTTGAAATCAAGAGACAAAAGTTGCGTCCTATTGTACAAGTATTTTGGTGCTCCGCCGCGCGACTTCTTGTTGAACTGCCACTCTTTTATCAGATCCAAGCTATCAGTTCTGTATCCTTGATTGCCTTGAGCGTCTTTCAATGTGCGAGAGAGAAAGTTCTTCCTTCCACCGCCCATTACAACCTAAAAAAAATTAAAAACGTGGTTTTAAAATATGAGTAAAGTAATTCAATCAAAGTTGCTTATTAACTTAGCTATAATGTACTTAAATGTAAGACTATTCTCTAAAACGCTTTTGTTATTTTAATAATATTCATGAAATCATTTGTTCAGCAAATCTTTGGGCCTCTTAAGGTAGACAGGGACCTAAGTAGGTAGTGCATTAGCTACGCTTTAATAGGCCTGGTTAACTCACATCAATCTGGCTTCCTACACTTCCTCTAATCAGCTGCAGGGCTATATCCTCGCAATGGCTGTCAGGTGGCAGGTCGGTATCCGCCTCCCAGCGCCGATCCGCTGCATGCGCGTAAGATGCTGCCGGGGTGGCGTGTGTCACTCGAGTTGTTGTTACCACACCTATGAACGTAATTATTGAATAAACTCAGTAATGATTCTTATGAGCGATCTGAAGATGGTTAATCCATGTGTAAGAGGAAATAAGTCTATACTAATATTATAAAGAGGAAAGATTTGTATTTTTATATGTAATGTAATAATTCAAAAACTACCGAGCCGATTTCAAAAATTCTTTCACCGTTAAAAAGCTACGTTATCATTGAGCTACATAGGCTATGTTTTTTACTCCTTTTTCATTACACGTAGGCGAAGTCGCTAGCAACACGTAGTAGTGTATAAAACGATAGATGAAGTTTTTTTAAGATCTCTTATTTCCTATGAAGTAGTAAAGGATTTTTAACTATTTCAAATTATACTAACAACATTTTACTAAACAATTGGAAAACAATCAGCGTAACGTTTGTAGTTTTGTAAGGATTTGCTATTTTTTTTTTCAAAATCGTGTACTCTAAAAATATACTGGCAGGCGTGATATTTATGCTAATATCTTCTCATTCATACAGCACGCCGATTTGACGGAAGGCTTCATGACTTGAATATTTTATCATTCTGAACATTGTTGTCCTGAAAAGATTGCTAATGTTTGTTAAAATCCATAACTAAGTACTATATCACAGTCTTAAAATAGAAAACTAAACAATAATTGTACTGTTATTAAATAATGGTTAAAACTTACAATAAATATTGATTAATACTTTACAACAACGGGATAATATAACCGGTAATAATGCAATAAAACCCTTTACGATGTTGCTGTTACGATTTGGTTATAAATTAAAGTCCTTATTAACAGTTAGCAATAACTTAAATACACCAAACATTAGCACCATTATACAGTTATCGTATAGAACTGGCAAAAAAGAATGGGGCAATTCTTTTTTCGAAAAGCGAAAACTTTGTTCATGGTTGTCAATAGATGGCGTTATTCGAAATAAATAAGTATTGTACCAGTGGCTTTCCCAGCTTTCTGTGCCCAGTCTATCAGGCCAGTGACGGCGTGTATTCCTCCCCTCTGTCCATCGCAATCTCCTCGTTTGACTGCAGCACTCAATCCAACAGTCCCACTGTTTGCCTTCACGCCAGTTAGATAAGCAGTACCGCTACACGCTGAGTCAGCTACGTTGTTATCCACGCAATACGTCTGCGAAAAAAATATTTCCGACTCAGTTCACACGATTAATGAAAAGCAAAGATACAAAGGCCAAGGTTATGTTTAGGAGAATTAGCTACCGGCCTATTTGATCCGAGTTACAGCCATAACAGTTGTAAACAGATGTATGAACTTGAAAGTGATTCAATACAAAATGTCGGTCTGGTAAAGACATTTAAATAGTGCATAGACAAGACAGTGAACAAAAGTTTTTCACTGGTACTTTCTTTAAAAGGTTGTCAAGTTTAGTGCCACTTAGTGTCATTGTACTGACATTAAAAAAACATTTGTAAAAATACTAAGCTTCATCTTTTGTTATAAAATAAACTAAACAATGTTACAAAGTAAAATATAAACATTTATTTAAATACAATTTATGTTGTCGTGTGGTTTTGGGGATATATCAATAGATAGCGTTAGTGACAACATGTGAAGTTCCAAGTGAAATGTTAACTCTGCCGTCTCTAGATATTTGAATATCTTTGCACTCTGGCTAAATACTAACGCCAAAAAACACGACATTAGTAGTAGTACTAAACATAGTAGCATGGTTCAAATCTTTGTGTATAATCTTCTTACCTTTGCTAACCCAGTGTACGGGAATGCTTCGAAGCTTAACTTCAGTTCCTCTCCCATGTGGCCGTACTTCTGTCCCAAGTAGACCCGTGTGGCGGCCAGCGTGGTGATGCTCATACCATCGCCTAGGAACAGGATCACGTTCTTTGCGGTCCTCTTATTTAACGTACTTGATACCTGAACAGAGAATATTATAGAATGGGTTAAGCAAAATTGGTTATACATTAAAGTTAAGAGTAAAGGATTGATAGGTCGTGTTGGCCATAGGGTAATTAAATGAAAACTCAATAAAAAACAATACAATATCGATATTAAAATTAGATGAAAAATATAGCATTGAATTATTTATTAAAAATCCGGCAATGGCTTTCCTGTGCTTTTCGTTGTAAAAATGAAACGAAGACCTATAACATTATCGGTATTTTAAAATTGTAGGTTATTACATCATCATCATCTTCCCCACTTATCCTACTCCCATAGTCTTTTTCGTCCCCTAAATAACTATCATAAGTCTCTCATCATCTCACTCCCTTCTCCATCCATCCATCTCTTACTATGTCTACCTCTGTCAGTGTGCCCCACTCATAATTAGCGTTCTTCTTTGATGTGAATCAGTCTACTGCAATATATATTACCTTATTTTTTAAAATCCACTGCGCCTGCATCTTCCAGTGCTCCTTATTGTGTTCGTCGAATAACGGCCGCGGTGCATTCTCTGTAAATAAATCTAAATACAGTACTCCAGTTTTGAGGAATTAAATCTAGAAAACCGTAGAAATTTTAAGAAAAATTCTTTAATAAAGTTTGCATCGCTATTGGTCTTGACTTATTTGAATTAAATTAACCTAAACAAAGAAATCGTAAAGTCTTTATGAACACGCAACTTGCGGGTTTCTTGTCTGTGAAAACAATTAGAAAGAATGAATTACGCAAAAAGTTTTATTCCATTACTAGCTGTTCCCGTGCGACTTCATTCGCATGAAACTATGGAAATTGTTTAATTGATTACATTTGTCAAATTCAATTGCAAATGTAAAAATGACAGACATGACATGATGACAAAGGATGGCAATTTTGCTTCCTTGATGTTAGCAGCAACTTATGGTCTCTTTCCCACATTAGGGGTTTTATCCAAAATATTTACTTCCTAAGTTTAATGGCGTGAAAATATATAGCCTAAGCGTGACAAGTGTAGGGCTTTCTATTAAAAAAAGGATTATTCAAAAATATGCTGTGATTGCTGACATCTTAGGCAACAAAGTGTGTGTTTACGCTTTATTATAATAGTATAGATAGTATAAAAGTATAGATAAAGAAACGCAAGTTCTCTTGTGAGAAATTAAGGCATCTCAAAGTAATTAAATTACGAGTACTGTAATAGTGAGACGTATTAAAAGATAATTATTTAAACATTTAGTCATCAATCTGTTAATTATTATTAATTGGAGAACAGATTTATTTTATTTAAAACTAAAGCAAACATATGGTATTCGTTTAATAAATTAATAAATGTGATACAAATCTATACTATTATAAAGTGGAAAGATTTGTATTTTTGTATGTATTGAAATAACTCAAAAACTACTGAGCCGATTTCAATAATTCTTTCACCGTTAGAAAGGTAATTTATCTGTGAGTAACATAGGCTATATATTTAATTTCATGCGGGGAAGTCGCAAGCAACAGCTAGTTTGTTATAACATTATTGAAACTTGGAGACATTTCTCTGTGAAAATTGCAATATTATCCATAATTCTATTTGTTCTAGTAAGGTAAATACTCAAGTTCTAAATTTTCATCAAACAAAACGAGTTAATCAGTAAACACTATACCGTTTAACAAGATTTGGCAACAATTGATAACATATAATTCCATTCATCGGAATAGGACAAGGCGATCTCATTATACTAGTAGTTTAGTTTCAAAACTCTTTACGAATTACGTGACATTATGTGGAGTCGGTTTCTCTTGTCCTTGGCCTTCTTAGGGTGCACGCGTCGTGTCAATGACACCTACTGCCTACCGCTGAAACAGGAGCCTTAGGACCTGTACACATGAGAGTAAGAACTCCCAAGTTTGAGCTGGCGAGTTTAAGGGCGTGTCCCACCAAATTGAAAATTGTCTAATAAGAATAAAACGTGTAAAATATGTGATGTTAATATCAGTTTTTTTTGCCTTGTTAGTGACGTCATTTTTAGGCTATTTGAGCCTCTACAAGTGAGTGGTGGGACAGGCCCGAAGACCCTTATTATGACATTTTCACTTATAGATCACTTAATCTCTTAAGTTACCTATATCCATGATTGTTTAAAAAAGTAGGATAAGACCACTTTTTTTTCTTTTAAACTAATATTCAGAAACATTCTTTTATTATAATCAATTTAGTAATGTGAAATCTTTAACGAAAAATATCCCGCACATGTCAATAAATATCTTGACAAACTCCAGTGTGTACAAGCCCTAAGTTACATCGCTTCACTTTACGATAGCTTGACGTTATTTATGTGCTCTTTATTTCGGGGTAAGATGTCTTTAATGACTTAAAGTAACATTAAATTTAACGGGATTGCCTTTGTTATTATCACTGATATATGATCGCTGCATCGAACCACCCACGCACGTAACACTGGGATATTTTTAGAAAGAAATTAAAGAACTCAATAGAAACCGTAAGAGCGCGCACATATTTGAATTATCACAGAACTGTTCAGTCGCGCTTTGATTCTTATGAGTAGCTTAGGTGCGCACACTACTCTATTTTTAGTTGTGCAACTAGACAGTTGGAATGGCTGCAAAACAATCGACAATCGCACAATAGCGCTCGCTCTTAATCTATATTAGAATTACTTAAACATGCTGGGAATATATTCTTCTTCTATATATTCTGGCAGCTTGTTTGATGGCTAGAGAAATTACAGAGAGTTTTCGGTAGAAAGTAATGAAATAGTGTTAAAATCTTAAATCCGGTCAAAATCTCGTTGAATCTCATTAACTTGAATGGAAGACTTAGCAATCGCGGCAATCCGTGCTGTTTCATTTCTGGAAAAATTTCCTTCTTCATTGCAACGAGACAAACTCCGCCTCTTCCTACCAAACGAAGGGATAATAAACAAAGCCGTTAACCACTAACCGACTTATTTTAAAGAAACATTTATAAGCTGCGTTATACTGATTTTTGTTCCGTGTCTCGTTTCAAAATGTTTAAAAAAATTGTAGCCTTTAAGGTGGCTGTATATTGTAAAAACTGACGTATATTCCTATTATGGAATCATTGCCTTTATCATCATATGCAGATATAATTAACGAACTGCAGAATTTTAAAGAACGTTTATAAATTCGACCGTCCTTTTAATCACACAAAAGTCCTGATTATATCATATCTGATATATTTATATCACAACATATAGGGCAGGGCCAGGGCTACGCGGAAGTTGTAAATGTCACACATTACGTCGGGAAAGACCCGTAGGCGGATGCAAAATAGACTGGAAATTTTAGTGATTAATACAAAATTATGGTTGTATAGTTAACAAATACGTGACTTCAGACATGTTTGATTGTTTTAAAATTACAGGAATCTTTGAAATTATGCGCATTATTTACTTATTTATAGTAATATTTATAGCTCAAGCCTAAAACCTAATTGGAATAGTTAAAGGAAATATTAGTAAATTAAAATAAAAGTTGAATAATTGCCTTTACGTTTTTTTTTCTTTATTTAAAATTAAAAGAGAATAGAAAACAAACATTTATGTCTATATCTCTAAAGCCTGTCCATAAATTTGAACTGTTTAGTTAAGTCCTTCAGTTAGAATTGATCGACTGAAGCCGGATTTAGGTCCTAAATGGATATTTGATAGGACTACGCCGAAATCGGTCATCTGTTTACTACTCTCAAAAATGAAAGTATTAAATAATTATTCTTAGATACATTTAATAACGCTATGTGACATATTGAGGGTTTAACATTATCGCAGAAAGCGTCAGCTATGGTTCGTAATTTGTGGAGCCCTGCAACCTACAGTGAAATACGACCTTGGTACTCGGATGTCTACATTACACTCACTTATGAGTAATACAATAATAACATAATTAAACATGGAATCGGTTGGTATAAATTTTACATTATGTTTCATTTGCTTTTGAATATCGTATTTTTTTATTTATTTACTAGCCTTCGCCCGCGACTGCGTCGGCGTGGAATGATTAGCTTATGTGTTCTTCCAGACCATCCTTTACATTTATGACAAATTTCATCGAGATCCGTTCAACTACAAACTCTAATAAACGTCCATCTATACACCTAAACTTTCGCATTTATAATATTAGTAAGATTGTCTTTGGATGCAAACGTAAGTACAAATCAATCTGTAGCTATAGATAGATACATATATAGTTAGGAATAGGATCTTGTACGGGTAATTTTTTTACAATATAAAGTGACACATGCTAGTGGCAACTGGTACTTGCCAAAATAATGATACAACCGCTGCCCGTAGGCATACGTATTTGCAAATACGAACGCACAGAGTTCTCCTGTACATCCTATCCCCTGGCAACCCACTTCCCTTCCCACCCTTAAGTATCTCTTCTCATCAAAACACATGTTTCTATATTATGTAAACTAGTAGCTGTTCGCGTGCGGCTTCATCCGCTGAAATTATAAATTTATTGTTTGCATTTGTTAAATTCTCAATTACAAATGTCAAAATGACATGACATGATGACAACTTTGCTTTCTTGATGTTGGCAGCAACTTATGGTCTCTTTCCCACATTAGGGTTTTTATTCAAAATATTTACCCCCTAAGTTTAATGGCGTGAAATATATTTTCTAGTCTAGTCTAATAGCCTAAAGCGTGACGTAAGTGTCCCTACACTTATTAAAAAAAGAATTATTAAAAAATATGCTGTAATTGCTGACATCTTAGGCAACAAAGAAGTGTGTGTTTACGCTTTATTATAATAGTATAGATAATTAGATTAGAAATTATTGACTTTGTATACAGATACAATATTGACCTCAGTTATCGACACAGACCAAGTTCCGGACAGAGGCGTCGCTAGATACCGGTTATCAGATTTGACACGTTCACTTACTGTCGCTTCCTCGTTTGTAAACTACACTTTGTCCTTTGTAACTCTTACACCCGTGATCTATAGAGAAACAAGGCAACGGTCAAAGATTAACTGTGCTATTTGTGCTTGTTTCTGAATTATGATACAACATACGACTATGTGACTCAACATACGTTTCTGTTGCAAGTCTCCTAACAACTACTACGTTACGAATATAATTTATCTATATGTATAATTATAAAGAGGAAAGATTTGTATTTTGTATTTATTGGAATAACTCAAAAACTACTCTGCGGATTTTAAAATTTTTTCACCATTAAAAAGGTAATCTATGTATGAGTAACATAGGCTACCTTTTATTACGTTTTAATTTTATGAGACGAAGTCGGGAACAATAACTGGTATTATAAAGGGGAAAGATTAGTATTTTTGTATGTATTGAAATAACTTTAAAAGTAATAAGCCGATTCTGAAAATTCTGTCACCGTTTTAAAGGTAATTTATCTATGAGTAACATAGGCTAAATTGTTCATTTCAAGCGGACGAAGTCGCGTCGCGAGCAATAGCTGGTAATACATATATCATTATTGTGAATCTGTATATGCGGAACATTTTTTTTATCTCCAAGCTTAATATGATACGCAAAACGCAACAGTCACAAGTCGCAGACAATAATATGCGTTACGCATGAAAGACGGTTTTAATTGGGAAGTCAGTCCAATGGTCTATGGTGGTACAAACACAGACGAATTTCTTTCTTCAAAGCACACGGTATGCTATGAGAGTAACCTTTTCATAATCGGCCAGTTACCTGCGTAGAATTATTCTTTTATCCAAAAATTATTATTTGACAATGAAGGGTGCGTCTTTTTTGCGTGGATGATTTTACAATAACTCGAAGGGGACAGACTGTAATCAAGCGGACTAGGAAGTAATGCTTTGTCTTCTAAGTAAACTTTCCGTTTCTAAAGTATTCTAAAAAAGACTAAGGAATAAAATACAGGAAAAAAGGAATAATAGATCGTTTTAATTTCTTTTAAACGTCTCTAAAGTTTGAATATTCGTATACCATATTGATAATTTAAAACCGGTGTCGTTTTAAATCAAAAGAAACCATTTCCAATTAATATGAGAACATAATGAATTCTGGGAAAATTCGTTGATAACCGTCTAACCAAATAATATAACGAATTGTGATGATTTCTCAAAACATTTGATCTGATTTCAGAGATTGATTTTATTAACGTTTTTTGTTAAAGAACAAAAATTCTTATTCTTTTCTATTGACAAACCTTCAAAGATCGATGGAAAAAAGGAATACAAAAACCATTGACTTGCTGTTTTTCAGGTAAAGCGGCTAACAGGGAAGCGGAAGATATTGAGACTGTTTACGCGAGCGTCGGCGGCTTAGGGATGGCAGTTGACTTGTTCTCTACAAGTCCTGAGTTCGATTTGTGTTAAGACAACGATCCTTAGTGGGCTAAAGTGATTAACTACGGTGTAGTCATCCCTAACTTGGATTTCCAGGCTTCTTAGTAGGATCATATAGGGACGATGACGAGGGACTCGTAAGTTTATTAAAGAAAAAGTATCGACACAATTGCAACCTTGCCTTATTATTCGGGAATATTACTACCTTTAGTCTAGGAAACAGATCATCATACTTATATTATTAATGCAAAAGTGTGGATAGATGAATGTTTTCTTGTCGCCTTATTTTCTGTTCCTACCTACATTCGTTATTACAATAAAAATTGAGTTGGTTTTAAATAAATAATAGAAATAATAACTTTCAAAGTCGAATACGAAGGTTAATCTTAAGTAATTGTAAACTTAAATACACAAATATTGTTAACTACGAACGTAATATTTACTTAATAAAAGATATTTCTCAAGAGTAAACGATCGTGTTATTTTTCTATTGCCTTAAAGTTACGTACATTTTTATAACTATTAGTTTTTAAAAGTATTCCAGTATTCAAAATTTTAACAAAGCAATTTTTATTTGCGTATTAAAACTTACGATTTTCCTGATGTAAACTTCTTGCCCATACACAAAATAAAAACACTGGCACAAAATAAAATCGATTTAAATGCCTCATTTTAGAAAAAAAAACGATTCACGTAACAATAAATTGTTAATTATTGATAAATAAATATTTTATTAACATTTATGGACAATTTTAATTCATTAAAATTCACATTAAAATAAATGTAATTATAAAGCACTACCACACTGCAACGGTCGCGATTACACTAGCGGGAGAGATCTCTAAGAGACAGTTTAAAAGTGCAATTCGGGTACAGCACAGCCGTCTGTGGAGTTGACATTGGCCGTAAAAATATTTTGTTACTTATTTGTAGCGTGACTTTGCTTTCATATTTATACGTTACACTTACTAAATTTAACATTTACATGAAATAAGTATATTAAATTATGTAATCTTTTAAGTGGTTTTAGCTTGCGGGAAATATTTCTAAAATGTTCACATTTATTTTTATGTCAGGATTGTGTTGATGTCAATTTATTACATGAGGTGATTTTAAAAGTGTTTGTTGGTGTTAAATTTTTTTTGCATGTGTAGTTTTATTAAAATAATAGATGTTGAATACGTAGTGACCCTGTAAAGCACTTTCCCTGTGGACTCGACCCACCTCGACCTCAATGCTTTTTATTCTCCGTTATCAAATTATATTGTTATGAATTTTTTAGTAAGACTATAAAAAAAAAACGCTGTAAATAGTAAATGGTATCTCCTGAAATGCCCAGTGTCTGTTATAGATGAAACATTTTGTACTTTATTTATTAGTTTATTCAGACTTAAATGTTGCATTTTTATCTTTAGTTTGCTATGTTTATGTTACAAGGAAAAATATTTCATTGTTGTTCCTGATTTAACTCAAAAATGCTAACTTTTTTAGACAACTTATTTAATTGATACTGTCGCTTTAAACTCAGAGCAACACTTCTCGTCAAGACTTTGGATGCGCGCCAATCTATCCATACTTCTAGTGACATTGACAGCTGTCAGCCAGGGACGTGACATTTATGCCGATAATCTAGAGTTGCGCCAATTCTACAGCATGGTACTAATTTTGTTCTTAACACTAATAAAACTAGCACTACTCCATAGCTTTGTTGTCATTTAAATTCCCCGTTGATATGAGGAATTCCCGATCGAGTAGTTACCTAGGGTATTTACTGTAAATCTAGGCCTTTGTCCTTATTGTCTATATTAATTTTGCGCCCTTCTTGTGAAATCATGGGATTTACGTCAAGTTGTGACAAAGTTGTTTATGAGTTGGCAGTTAGTGAACTTAAAGTTAGGTGTTATGACAAAAATACTAACTTTCGTGCTTTAGTAAGGTATTTTTATTAACGTTTAATTAAAATTTGTTATAAATAAAATACGTCCAATTTTGATAATTTGTAAATAAAGTATTTATTATCAGAATTATGTTTTATTACTTATTGGTTTTCCTGTTTGATGTTCAAATAATACATGTATAACATGATTCCATCTTAATTTTACAAGTATAAATTATATCTAAGTTACATTTGAATAAAGTAACAACCATACTTTTTGTTAATTGAAGTTACATTTCTGTACAATTTCTTTTACATTTTTAATCTATGCAAATTATATTTTGCATCAAGATATATCAGAATTAATTAAAAAATACGAATAACTACAACACGACACAACACATAATTAATATTTTTTTAAAAACAAAAACATTGTTCGGCTTTGAGCGGTTTCGTCTTATTTTATATCGATACACACTTGAACGTTTAATTTTTTTTACATTAGCTATTACAGCTTTCCTCACTAATTTTTAGGTTATCTGTTTTAATTCATTGTTATTATTTCGATTTTCCAACTAACTCCAATAAAGAACATTTACGATTTATAACAGTGCCATCTTACGGAAAACGCATGCACTAAAAAATTAAAATTTTTATTTACCCGAATTGTTCATACTCTTAGTATTTTCACTTTTATTTAACATTTTTTGTACCAAAAAATATTTGTTTTGCGTTAATTACTTAAGCTTTCCTGCAGTTTTCGATATAACAATTAAAAATATAAAACGAGTTTTTGGAATTGTAAAAAGTTGTACTTACAAATAGACATTTTTTTATTTTCTATCCAGGAATGTTCTCTAAAGCAACCTTAATAATATTTGTACTTCATTTATCAATTTTTAGGTTAAACCAACATCAATGCCTTGTGCCATATATTTATCGTTAGAAAAATCTAGTTTAAAACATTCAACACTGACTCAAAGAATGTTCGAGATGACTTAAATAGACATTATTCGTGTAAATGCTTATGTTTGTAACAATTCGATGATTTTCACTTAAGTATACATTGCCATAAAATTTTATTTCTAACCTAAAAACTAAATCTAAAGCTAATTATCACAGCACATATACTTAATACGTAACTAAATACATTTGGTCTATTGTGTTCACCGCTGGACGTCCAGAAATGTCTATGCCTTTTGCAGTTGTCGTGTTTATCTTCTGTTAAGCACATTGCATATGCCATGAGGTGGGGTACCACATTTTGTTCATAGCTGGCGGTGAAGAGATGCTGCCAAGGCCCAAGGGCAAACACGGCAACATCCTCACCGCCGTGAGTCTCCGAGTCTAGCGGCACCAAGCTTGGATACGAATAGTCCAAAGCGCCTGTAAGAATTTAATAGCAAAGATTTCAGAACAATGATAAATCTATCACATGTTTTTAATATTGCTGTATAAGTATATCAGGATTCTTACCATTTATAAATCTATCCTGCAAAGTAACGTCAACTCTTCCATCTGCGGCAATAGATGGCGCTTTACCGTTAGCATAACTGATAGTGGTGTAAGGTTTATCGTCGAATCCTTTTGCAGTGTCTACAGCGCCCAGGATATCATTACCTCGTGAGGGGTAACCTGCTACAGTCATTGTGTGCGCGTGGTCTGAACTGACCACTATCAAGGTATCACTCTCATCAGTCAGAGCCCTAGCTTTCTTTACAGCTTTGGCGTATTCCACCGTCTCGTCGAGAGCCAGACGAGCGTAGCTGTCATGATGTGCGTGGTCTATTCTTCCACCTGGAACATTGAATAACAACTTTTAGTTTGGTTTTCGAGATTTGTTACCAAACATCTAGCCATACTAGGTCTATGTTTTGAGCAGATAATAGTTTTCGCCCACGATTCTATCCGCGTGGAATTAAAACAAAACTAAATTGCCTATGTTTTCTTCCAGACTATCCTCTATATCGCAAATATCATCGATATACGTTCAGCAGTTTAGCCTACAAACTTTAACAAACACCCATCCATCAATCTACAGTTTTGCCTCTATGAAATTAATAGTAAGATTTTCATAAAATACATAGGTGTAACCAGTTCAGTGTCATTGGACGAAAAATAATAAAGTTGTGTTTACACTACGAGATAAAATAAATAAAGGTAATAGAAGTTATTGGTACAATGCCACTAGTAATTGGTTTCGTCTAAGAGCCATTGTGGAATTTATAATTATTTTAATGATCACAGATTTAATGTTGATTGAATCCCGCTGTTTTATCGTTAGGTAAAGGCAAATAATCATTTTGTACAGATTAATCTATATCTATACTATCTTGACTATTATAATAAAGCGTAAACATACACTTCTTTGTTGCCTAAGATGTCAGCAATTAATACACACTTTCAATAATCCTTATTTTAATAAAAATCCCTACACTTACGTCACGCTTTATGCTGTATATTTCACGCCATTAAACTTAGGGGGTAAATATTTTGGACAAAAACCCTAATGTGGGAAAGAGACCATAAGTTGCTGCCAACATCAAGGAAGCAAGGTTGCCATGGTTTGTCATAATGTCATATCATTTTGACATTTGCAATTGATAATTTTATGCGGATGAAGAAGAACAATTATTTGGTAAATTGTTAGGTCAAATAAATCTCAAAAAAATTAGAATGGTTGCTTTAATAGTCTTTTGTAAAACTCACCTTCCACAAACAGAAAATATCCTTTTTCGCTTCTACTTAACATTTTAATGGCGACTTCAACCATCTCTTCTAGAGAGGGCTGATTGTGTGCCTTCAAGTGGTATTCCATATGATCATCGTTGAATAGTCCAAGGAGATACTCCGGCAGATCATCAGAATTGAATACCTGGAAGAAGAGTAGCCAATAGTATGACATAGGTAGTTAACCAGATTCTATGAAACCAATTTAGTAACAGAAATAATATTGTCCGTTGTTAAAGTGAAATTAGAACCAGGAATTGTTTTATTAGACCTAAATGGTGTTTAAGTTAGCTGACATTTGTTTAAGAAAGAAGTTAGATAATTGAGTTTTCTCACTCATCAACTTGCCCTTATCCCTAACGGAGGATCGGCACAGTATGTGCTGCTCTTTCATACATCTTTATCAGCCGTCATATCTGAATCCGCTCCTGTCTTAAGCATATCCTCTTTCACCCAATCCATCCATACTTTCTTCGGTCTTCCTCTACCTTTGTAGCCATCCACAGTCAATCTTAACACTTTTTGGTTTATGTCCCCATCGTTTCGTCGCATTATGTCCATACCACAACATAGCCCCCTATAAAAATATAATCTTGATACGTCACCGATGTTCTAAAATTGCTGTTTCCCTAAGGCTAGCTTTAATTTTAGTAACCCAATATATAGTGCATACCTTCAACAGCTCAGCTCTGTCGGTGACGTATTGATGAGAGGCGTTCTTCTCTACTTTATCCTCGTGCCACTTCTCCGCCAGGTCGAGGCCGTCAAGCCGCACTCCCGTACCGTTTAGCAGCAGACTGGTCGTGTTGGGGAAGAATTCTTTCCTTCCACCGCCCATTATTACCTGGAAATTGATAATTTTGATACTTTTATAACGTTATTTAAGAATACTGTGATACATGTGTCTTTTTTGCATAGGAATCCAATAGAAAGTTTCATACTCTTGTAGATATATTATGCGAAAAATGGCGACGTCTCTTAGCACACTTATTGTTTGAAGAATGGAATAATTATCATTTAATGTACTCAGTGATGTTTTATTTGGATTTAAAAGTTAAAAACTTATGAGATATCTTTATTAAACGGTTTGGTCTTAGCCTCGGGGACGTAATAAACATGAATAATACAAGACGCATTTAATTCAACGTTCACTGGCCATTATTTAGCAATCACTCAACCCCTGCTTTTTACCGTTTGCGAATAAAAACCTGTTCTGGCAGAAATATTTGGCTGCATGTTTCGTAACACAAATACTTCATAATCTCATACGATTGTGTTCTTTTAACATTTTATATTTTAGTTAAATTCGTATTGGATCGTTTTGTTTTCTGTATTTTTTAATAAAGAAAGTAAGAATAAATTATTACGGAATTTGAAAACAATGTGACGATTTCAAATACAACTTGTGCTTCTTGTTGTCGACAGGTATACGATTGTTAGATTAGTTAGTATCAAATGTTTTGTATAAAAACATTGTACATTCACGTAATAATGAAGAGTGTAATGACTGTGAGATAAGGCGTCAATTACCAGGCTGGTGACGGTAATGTCTTGTACCAAGGTCAACATCGCAAATGAGGATTTAATAAGGTTTGCTAAAACTCTCGATCTAAAGTTACTTGTTAATCTATACATTTGTTAGGAGTGCAATCAATCGGACAGTAAACTCTAGATTACTGACTACTGTATTACTGGCGTAACAACTTTCTCATGTTAGTTATGATTACTAGGACCTCACGCCGCTTCAATCTTGCTGAACGGGAGATGTTTGAAACGTACTTCTACATCTATACTCTATACTAATATAATAAAGCGTAAATACACACTACTTTGTGGCGTAAGATGTCACCAATCACAGAATATTTTGAATAAGTCTTTTTTTTAATAAAAAGCCCTACACTTACGTCACGCTTTAGACTATAAATTTTAACGCCATTAAACTAAGGGGGGTAAATATTTTGGATAAAACGCTGATGTGGGAAAGAGACCATAAGTTGCTGTCAACATCAAGGAAGCAAGGTTGTCATCTTGTCATGTCATTTTGACATTTGTAATTGCACGGGAACAGCTAGTTAGAGATAACGCACAGACTAAATAAAGTGAGTTTTTTTTCCATGTGGCCGAAGTAATAGTGAAAGCTGGTGGAGTCAGAAGTAAAAATCAACCAGTGACTAAGATTTATATACCTAATTGAATTTGCTGCTTATACCATGAAAATTTTGTTTCACGTTTTTTTGCTATGGTGCTCATGATGCTGTGCTAAATAAATATTTATTGTTTTAAGATTAAAGTTCAAATTTGACTAAGTGGAATCAGTTGTTTTATTTTATAGTAAAGCGTTTATTAAAACGTTAATAAAATAAACATAATCGCATGATGTTGTTGACTCAAGTGATGTTTCATATTTAATATTGAATAATTATTCTAGACTAGCTGTCGCCCGCGACTTCGTCCGTGTGAGATTAAAAAATAAAAGACAGTAGCCTATGTTAAACAGACCTCTATGTTTATGCCAAATTTCATAAAGATCATTTCGGCAGTTCATGCTATAAATTCTAACAAACTACCATCCATCGCATTTATATTAGTAAGATACGTGTAGCTTTTTTTTGAATTATTAAAAGAGCTCCTACCTTAAACTGTCGACCGGGATTGTTCATTATGAGTTGGTATGCGATGTCCCGGCATCCCAGAGACAAGCATTCATCTGGCACGTCTGCATCGCTCTCCCAGTTCCTCTCTGATGTGTGGGCGTACATCCCAGCTGGTGACGCGTGGGTTACCCGCGTTGTTGTCACAAGACCTAGAATTAAATAGAATTTAGAAGACAAGATCTAGTACAAAATCCTCGATCACGGAGTATTGACAGATGGCAGTGTGTGCATTCATAATTGTACGAAGTGTTTTATTTGTTTTTTTTTTTTTGTAAATATTATCCACGGTGTGAATAAACTGTTTTTTTTTTTAAGTGTCAGTCAAAGACAATATGTCGAATTTGCTATGGTATATACGAACTAAACTATCGCACAACTGATTAGTCGCACTTTTATTCGTGCGAGCTTATATGGAAGTGCGCTTATTCGCTTTTTAGTTTTGCCACTAAACAGTTGAATACACTGCGCACAACAGCCAAGCGATAGTTTAGTCAAAGATGTGCGTCCGCTCTAATTCTCAACTATCATACTTCATACTAATATTATAAATGCGAAAGTTGAAATGGATGGATGGATGGATGTTTGTTAGAGTTTGTAGCCTAAACGGCTGAACGGATTGCGATGAAATTTGGTGTAGATGTAGAGGATATTCTGGAAGAGCACATAGGCTACTCACTTTGTTTTTTTTTTTTAATTCCACGCGGACGGACTTGCGGGTGAAATCTAATCTATCAGATTTAACAGTGGTAGTGCCCGGTTTAACATCTTAGCACGAATGGGCCGGCACGCCCGGTGTAATACCACGACCATACAGAAGACAGGCGTGAAATGGAAGCAATTCCGTGTTTCGTCTGATGAGTGTGGTGCCGGAGGCCTAACTTAAGTCCCTTTCTCTTTACCACTCTTTTCTTATAAGGAGAGGATGGGAAGGGGAAGTGGATTTGACGGCGGAGGAGATGCATAGGAAAGGGAAATATCCTCTTTATGTGGGTCTCCTCCTCCGTCGGATAAGGGTAGGCAACGCATCTGCAATTGCGGATGTCTATGGGCAGCCGTCGCTTCGCCATTTTGGCGAATTCAAGTGGCCGCCTGCTCGTTTGCCACCTCATGTTATAAAAAAAAAAAAGATTGCAGATTTAAGGATCTAAATTCACAGTGACCTTAACTACAAATTGTTCATATTATACGTTAGTGGTGACGTAAATCAATTGAAATATTATTTCATTCAATGGGATTGGTTTATTACTCTTTGTCCATCCTTGTTTTTTATCGTGCATTGTTATGACGGTTCAGCTTAGGTTGTGAATTTAACTAGTGTATTTAGTAACATTTCCCATATCATTTGTAATGCATCTTTTGAATACACGTCCTTGAAAGTTGTGCTCTTCATAGATATGTAATTTTTTGATTATTTTACTTAATATAGGACAACATTGTTATCCTTTATATTAAAAGGTGAGATAATAATGGACCAAATAATCGTAATTCAGGGTTATATCAGTTCTCGTCTTACCAGTTCTTCGCTTAAGAAGTGTAAACTCATCTAAAGAGAATCTATACAGGATGTCCCTATATGGATAATCCTGAAACCACCTACAATACATCAAGGGTTACGATTGTTTTTTTCTGAACGTGTGATAGGTGTATAGTGGGTTTTAAGATTGTCCATTAATTACGGGACACCCTGTATACGTAGAATGGTATCCGATTTATTTTGAATCCCGCCATTAACTACAATTCGTAAACGATCGTCCTTTGTTTGTATTCCGGTATGTAAGAACTTTAAAAATGTAAGCTTATTAAAGAGTGACTTCTTATTTAGCTTACCTACATCCAGGCCACTATCCAAAGCCCATTGTCCAATAGACGAGGCCCAATTCTTCTCGTGGAGCTGCGGGTGGCATGCTCCTCTAGTCACGTTGCCGTCAAGCCCTATGACGCCGTACTTTGTCTTCACACCAGTAAGGTAAGAGGTGGCCGTGCACGCGGAATCCGGCACTTGAGCGTCGATGCAGTACGTCTGAAAAATAGTAATATTTAGTTTATATTTAAATAGTATGGTTTGTTAGTTTTTAGTAAATATTTTTGACGGAGAAGATAAAATTAGAAAGTACAGTCGTGGAAATATACGGTGCTCCATTATATGACAATTGCCTTTACAAATTCTGCCTTTACTCACATTTAACCAATAAGGTAGCACAAACGACAGTACAATAAAAAAAACAATTAGACACGTATTAGTGATTCAAACATATTTGGTAACAAAACGTTTTAACGACTATATTTTCAGGCAGTTAGTTTACCTGATTGTAAAGTTTTTGTAGCTTTGAATAAATCAACCAATATTCAGTTAGAGCATCGGTGGCTCAGTGGTTTAAACACTTGACTTGTAATCTACAGGTTTTGGGTTCGAATCCCGCCATGTATCAATGTGATTTTCGATTTTTCGAATTTTCATATGTACATGATTTACCAGACGTTCTCACGGTGAAAGAAAACATCGTGATGCAACCTGCACATATCGGAGAAGAAATTTAAAGATATGTGTGAAGTCAACCAACCCACATTGGGCCAGCGTGGTTGACTATGGCCTAGTCACCCCGTATTAGGGTAGGCTCTGAGCCCCTCGGTGGGGACGTATAGTGGAGCTGGTGATGATGAAGATCGGGTGCACAATTTTGACTAATACATCGCACAACTGTTGTGCGATTGTCGATTGTTTCGCAACTCATTCAACAACAGTGACTAAAAATCGAGTAATGTCCGCACCTACATATAAGCTCATAAGAAACTAGACTAAACGGTTGTGTTAGTTTAGTCAAAAATGTGCGTGTCCTCTAAGTATAACTTCAAAGACACTTAAAATGCCTGACCATTAACAGAAATCGAATAGTTTTTCACTATTACGTATGTTATTTAAACGTGATAGACGTATGTCTTCAAATGCTAGTCTAGAATTTTCAGCTCAATAGTAATTGAAGATTTTATTGAATGGTCATAATTACCATACATGATGACTGACAACTCTTTTGAATCCTCACTGCCAAGACCATAGTATTGTCAACTAACCTTGGTTCGTGTCGACGAGTAAGCGATATTATTTCCTTCTACGTTTCCTTTTGTTGTCTTAATATTATCACCATTACGGCTCAGTGGTTAGATTTGAAGGTCTTGAGTTCGAATTCATCATTTTTATGAGTGTTATTGAAATTGATTTAATATAGTGTTTAAAATCCACGCATAAATGTGGTGTTTATTCGAGACTTTTATTTTAATAAATCTTACTAATATTATAAATGCAAAAGTTTAGCTGGATGGATTTTTATTAGACTTTGTAGCCTAAACAGTTGAAGGGATCTCGATGAAATTTGGCACAAATGTAGAGGATAGTCTGGAAGCACACATAGGCTACTTTCTTTTGTTTTTTTATTACGCGCGGACGAAGCCGGGGGCGAAAGCTAGTACCTTAATAACACAAGTGATTGATTTATTGCTATTATTGTACACAAATATTAGACACTAGCTTTCGCCAGCGATTCCGTCCGCGTGGAATTAAAAAAAAACAAAAGTAGCCTGTGCGTTCTTCCAGACTATCCTCTACATCTATACCAAATTCCATCGAAATCCTTTCAGCCGTTTAGGCTACAAACTCTAACAAACATCCATCCATCCATTCATCTAAACTTTCGCATTTATAATATTAAGTATGATTAGTATGAAGTATGAATTAAGTCTACATAAAACGTGACAGTCGTTATCAATAAAATTTACATAATGCAAAAGTGAATTGATAAAAACATGTTCTGCAACAATTGTTCTTGTTTAAACCTTGACTCAACTGAAAGTGAAAATTGTTGTATTTATAGCATACTTGCTTCTGCCCGCGACTCCGTCCGCGTTGAATAAAAGAAACAAAAGTGAGTCTAGGTTTCCTTCTAGACTATCCTCTACATCTATATTAAATTTCATTAAAATCCGTTCAGCCGTTTTGACTACAAACTCTAACAAACATCCATCCATCTAAACTTTCGCATTTGTAACAGTAAGTTAGATGTAGTCAAAGAATTATATTCGCTTCCCACTTATCGAATGTCCTACAGCAAACTTATATTCTAGCTACATTTTAGAACGTAATTATATTTAACTAGCTGTTGCTCACGACTTCGCCTGCGTGATATTAAAAAATATAGATGTTGTGTATGTGTATGTATTGAACGTGTTTCCGAACTGGCGGCTGTGCCCGCCGTCTATGTGACAGCTACTTAAATAAACAGTCTGTGCTAAGCAAGCTATCTTTCAATACTCCCAATACGTAACAATAGCCTATGTCACTCACAGATAAATTACCTTTCTAACGGTGAAAGAATTTTTAATATCGGTCCAGTAGTTATTGAGTTGTTTCAATACATACAAAAATACAAATCTTGTCTTTTTATAATATTAGTATAGATAGATAACTTAACGACAGTAATTATGAGTTGTTAATGCTCCATTATGAATATTTGTAAAGGAAAATATTTAAACGCTGTTACAAAAACTTTATTATAATATTATGGACGGACACGAAGGAAAACCGATAGAGAATGCTAATCGGTTGTAAAGAAATTCTCAATGTCAAAGAACAATAGAAACCTTCCCGTTGTATTAGGAAAAATAAAACATGCACTGTTTGTTACATTGAGTACGTTTCCGGGAGTTAATTTAAACATCCTTTATTTAAAATACGAAGAAATTAAATATCACGGAACCATTTCTCTGTAACTAGCATTTAACTAAAACCACGCGGAATAAAAAAATCAAATAATCTGTCCTTACAGACTACATTCTAAATCTGTTCCAAATTACATCCAGATCCGATCTTAACTTGCACATCTTACATCATCATCCCAGGTGGATCCCTTATCTCTTACCCTCCGTAAGCACAGTATGTCGGCACAGTATGTGCTGCTCTTCCATACATCTCTATCAGCCGTCATATCTGAATCCACTCCTTTTTTAAGCATATTCTCTTTCACACAATCCATCCATACTTTCTTCGGTCTTCCTCTTCCTACATCTTACAATTATTATAAATGCGAAAGTTTGGATAGATGAGTAAAACTCAAGTTACGTAGGTACGCATATGATAAAGTTATCGAATAAAAACACTAACGAATGTTTAAACGTAGCTAGGAAACCATCGATTAATGTTGTTAACAGTATTAAGAGTATTTTTAACTTACAATCAGGAATACTCTGCGATGAAATGACATATGAATGCAGTATCGTAATTATTCAATAAACTTTAATAGATTCTCCACGCTAATTCTGTTGCATTCGATCTGGGTTATATCATATGTCCGGTAATTGCTTAAACGTATGTTGTGTGTAGATATAGAGAGGTTAGTTGAGAACTAGCGGTCACCTGGATGCGTCGAAATAGCGAAGCTACCTTTTACCATAGGCATTTGCAATTGCAGATGTGTTGCCTAATTTTAATGGGGAGGACGCACAGAAAGAGCTTTCCACCCTTCTTATGTGTCCCTTGCCTAATTTACTACCCCTTCCCATAATTATCTAATAAGGAAATATTTTGCAAGGTAAACGAATTAAACACTTTTGGTATAAACAAATATACGAGCATTTTGAAAGGTGATTGTTTATTTAATTTTGTACCTTTGTGTTATGTCTTTGGAATGCTAGTCATTAGTAAATACTTTTCTGTCTTGGAAATATTGAAGCGATATTTTTTTCTATAATTCAATAAATCGCGTATTGTACAGCCTTCGCTAATATTTCCTAAATCGTGACACTTCGTCTTCTGTTTGGAAAATGCCTTACTCGTTACGTACTGTCGTGTAATGTTCCGCTCGAAAGACTGTAGCGAGTCACTGTTTTGGTAATTTACGTTTTATGCTTGACTGTACAAGTTTTAAGAAGTCTTCAAATTGTCAGGTTCATTATTTTGGAGTTCAAGCGTGACTTAATCATTTAAGATGTCACTTATTTAAAAGTCGTTTCAATATTTGGCCGTAAGTCTACTTTTAGTTCAACTCAACCACCTTGAAATCCGGTAAATCTTATCCTTACTAAGGTGTTAATAAAAACTTGCTTCTTAAATTTGGTTATATCAAGGAGAATATGAAATAAGTCTTTACTTAGACCAGCCTTATACTAAGCAAAAATTACCTATATACAAAAGAATTATTATATTTACTTAAGAGATCCAAAGCGATTCTCCATGACACAGTTCCATAGTAAACAATTTTTTTCCTTTTTGATCCGTGGCCCTTTTTCGTGTTAAATTCAATATTATAGAGTAAAAAAGGTGAAAACCAAGTTCACGTTTTTATAAATGATTGCAACATTTTCCACAATAGACTTGCAGTTTGATATTAACTTGATTATATTCAAAGAAAAATACAACAGGTCAAATAATTTTACTATCCTAATAGCAGCAAAAGATAGATCAGGTTTACGTGATCACGGTGTGCCGCAATACAATGATTTTCGGCAATATGTATAAATCTTTTTCAACCAAAGAGGTTGAATTCGAGCAGAATAATAACTGCAACCGGTTAAGCGACCAATAATTGGGTAAAGTCCCGTTGCTCCGGTGTTTCCCCCGCGAGCTTTCGTGACTGCAATATTCAAGTAATTTTGCAAGTACTTATATGTACATGATTTACAAAAAAACTATGTTCTCTGTGTTATCTGAGCAATTCATCTTTTTATATTTAAAGGGGGCGAACGGCGGGTAGGTACACCGAAGTATCAACGACGCCCATGGACATCCGCAACACCAGAGAAACTACAGATGCGTTGCCGGCCTTCGAGGAAATGGTAGGCTTTATGTCTGCGTAGGGGTTATGTTAATGAAAGTTGCCAGTGGACTAAACAGATAGATGATATCAATCCGTGTAGAATGTCATAATACTAAAATAACGATAAAAATAAATAAAACGTGATGAAAGGTTTCTGTACTGATTTTCAACGTCATTGTACTAAAAACCATCTACAAAGCTATCTAATCAAAGGATAAGGGAATATTACTCAATTAGTTGTACAAATGTGCCTAATCCGATAATCAAGTATTGCTGATAAACAATTATAAAAGGCATTAATTTCTACATTATTAAATTGATACGATGAGACAAAAACGATTAGACGCATAAAAGAATTTGTACTTAGATTATTCTGCTGAAACAATCAGCTATCAGAAAAGATTCAAGCCTGGCTATGCCAACGGGGTCGACAAATTGACAAAAATATCCAGAAAGTATGCAAAAAATTGACTGTTTTAATAGAACTAATTTTCGTCCACGTAGAATAAAAAAAAGTAGGTAGCCTATGTGTTTTTACAGATAATATTCTACATCTGTGCCACATTTCATTGAGATTCGTTTAGTAATTTGGGCTACAGACAAGCAGTTATCAATCAAAACTATCGTCTTTATAATATTATTAACAAGAAAAAAGTAATATTAAATCAAGTAAGATAATTTAGAACATCCTGTATACATAGTTTTGGTTGCATTATAAACTAAAGATCTCCTCTAGCAGGATGTATATAATAAAAGAAAAAAAACTTATAACTTCTTGATGCAACAGATTAGATAAAGTTTACCAGCAACATTATATTTCTAAAGATGCAAAAAATATATTATGTAATTCTAAATTCGCCAGGTCAGGTATTAACGCAGCCACTCGAATACAAGCTGTTTTATTTTAGCACAGGTTTATGCAATAGCCGATAATCTACTTCCAAAGTCGGTTTAACGAATAATCTTTTTTTCATTTTAGAATGTTATGCAACTTCTTAACTTTGATTGATTGGATTATGCAAGAAATTGATAAATGCCACAGATTTTTTTCGCGACAACGTATGTAATTTTTAAAATGTTCGTGAATCTTTTACGTAATGAGTAACTATCAGGACATTTAGTAGGATACCATAAGATTCGTCTATACGGGTACAAAATTTGTTATCAATTTCATTCCTTTTAAATCGACAGGCAATATCAGCATGGTTTCTTCTGTATTAGTATCGAAAGTTTGTAGGTAATTTTTTTTTTTACAAAAGTCACTTACCCTAGCCAGTCCGGTTACGGGGAATGTTTCAAACTCCAAAATGTTGTCTTCACCCAATCCTTGTTCCACTTGTCCTCCGTAAGTCCTGGCCGCCATTACAGTGGCCAGTGACATCCCATCGCCAATAAACATGATGCCGTTCTTCGCCTTATTAATATTCTTCGTCTCGTGTAGCTTTGCTTTCAGGGTTGTCGCTGCTGACTTCTTCCAGTATGAACCATGCTTCTCCTCTGGCGGGATATATACTGGGTTCATTATTGTATCCAATACCTTCTTTGGTTTCGGTACGTCTTCTGTAAAATAAGAATATTTATGTGTTAACTAGCTTTCGCTCGCGACTCCGTCCGCGTGGAATTAAAAAAAGGAGATAGTCTGTGTGTTCTTCCAGACAATCCTCTTCGTCTATGACAAATTTTATCGAGATCTCTAACAAACATCCATACACCCATCTAAACTTTAGCAGTTATAATGTTAGTAAGATTTGAATTTTAGCTCAGACACTTTATGTTTTGTTTAGTCAATTATTTTGGTTTTAAATAGATGGCGCTGATTTAAATATTAAATCGTTTGATGTAATTGTACTGGTTAATATCTTATTTCGCATATACGAGTGTATTAAATTACAACTATCAGGTGGATGTTATTGCCCTTGTTCATTATATGAAATTTAAAAACATATGACTTTTAAGAGCTAAAGGCGAGAATTTTCTCCGTACATCATTTAAAATATTCCTACTCGTAACCCTTGGGAAAATTCAAATTAAAACAAAACACAAAGATACGCGTAAGTCAATAAAGGTTGTTTTTTTCTTAATTCCTTAGTTTTACATGATCCGAGTCATGTTGCCTCAAGCTCAAAACGCACTAACATGCTAAATTATTATTCTCTTCGCATTCTTTAAATTCGGTCAAACGACTTGAATATTAGCATCAAAGAACAGACACATCTTTTATTTCGAAAAACTAAAGCGATTACTGCAATTTTATTACCAAATGCTTAGAATACATAACAGGTCTAGGATATGTTTATCTAATGCCAAGTTCACACTACGCTAGTAGTAGTAGGGGCTACGTTTTCGCAACTCCACGACTGGCGCGTATTTAGCGTAAGAATAGGACATGGATTACTCCAGCCAACTGAGCCCTCCGAAGAACTTCAAAAAAACCCTTTATATTGCCGATCTCTGGGAGCGATCTCAGCAAACCAAGATACCTATATAGATAGGCTAGTAATTTAATAGAGAAGTAACTCAGTTAAGAGTTTAAAAAAAAATGTAAATATGTAGCGCAAAAAATGATATTTAGAAATAAGACAAGTATAATATCGTAAATTTTAAAAAAGTTTAAGTTATAACAATGATATCATGTTGAAAATAGGAAAAAGTAAGCAACATCCCTGATCCAAGTGTTAGGGGTACGAGAGGGCAGCATAGAACCGCCTATAAAAATAAAAAAGTAGTTTAGTTACTAAAATGTGTCTGAATACGAGACATTTAGTGGAGTAGAGTTGATAATATTTTTTTTTTATAATATAAGGTGGCAAACGAGCAAGCGACTACCTGAATCCATCCTTCCTATGCGTCTCCTCCACCGTCAAATCCACTTTATCTTCCATCCTTTCCTCTTAAGAAAAGGGTGGAAAGGGAAAGGGACTAATATTAGGCCTCCGGCACCACACTCATCAGACGCAACGCGGAATTGCTTCCACTTCACGCCTGGTTTCTGTGTGGTCGTGGTATTACACCGGGCGAGCCGACCCATTCGTGCGAAGATGTTAAAGCGGGCTCTACCACTGTTAGACGAGAGTTAATCTACTTTAGCTCCTAAACTACTAGGTACTCGACTAACCGCATTATGCTTTAGTTAGCTCGTTAAGAGGTTCTTTAAAATACGAATACTATCGAGGTATACTTAAAATTGATTTAAGATAATAAAATTGAGACCAGCGCTTTTAAGACACAATTATCTAATCAGTAATGTGAATAATTACCACTTGAAATACGACTTAAAACCTAATAATATGTGGTATAGTTATATAATACTAGCTGTTCCCGACCGACTTCATCCGCATGAAATTATGAAAATTATATTTTATTGTTTACATTTGTCAAATTATCAATTACAAATGTCAAAATGACATGACATGACAAACCTTGCTGCTTTGATGTTGGCAGCAACTTATAGTCTCTTTCTCACATTAGGGTTTTTATCCAAAATGTTTACCCCCTAAGTTTAATGAAGTTAATATATATAGCCTAAAGCGTGACGCAAGTGTAGGGATTTTTATTAACAAAAGAATTATTCAAAAATATGCTGTAATTGCTGACATCTTAGGCAACAAAGAAGTCTGTGTTTACGCTTTATTGTAATAGTATAGATTTCTGCACCTTTTAGCGATAATTATTAATTAATAAGTAAGACTTTGTTAGTCTTTAATTTGTTCATTTATCCTCATATATGAAATGCCCTAGCGCGGAATTCCAGATCATACACCATATGACGTGTTGGGAAACATTATCAAACAAGTGTTATTCATAGAAAATATTAGAAGTAAATACTCGTATGTACAAAGAATTAAATGCACCGCGAGTCGTGTGAAGGAAAACGTCTATGAGAAATGACGGGAAAATAGCAAGAAAAAGGAAAAACGCTTTTATCACGTGAACCTGTTTTTGGTTATGTTATTATTCTATACATTTTAAATTAGTTTTTCCTTGTGTCTTTAATATTAGAATGAGTTTCCACGCCCGAAACATCCGTACAAGACATTGTTGGTTCATATTTTTCTAGGTGCAAGAAAGAGACGAAAGCATTTGTTTCTAAGATTTTGACCCACTGTAAGGCGACTGTTAAAAATTTTTGTTATAATAAATTGTAAGCGACATTATTAATAATAGTAACTTAAGAAGGACATTAAGTTAATAAGATTAATAACAACTTTTTAATATGTTAAGGAAAATGTATAGAAAATGGAATAAATTTACTTCTATATCCGTCTACAAATAAGCATTGAGGTTATTACAAAATAGAATGAATGAGATACATTTCGTGATTTAAATCTATAAGAGATAATGACAGCATTTCGTAAAATAATCAATAGATTATTATTGATAACGCACGTGCATCTAATTTTATGATGACAGATAATACAGAATTCATACGTGACAGTAACTGATGGTACAGAATAAAAATTTATTTGATACAATTAGATACAGATTATACAATTATATACAGTTATATATTATATTATATACAATTATAGTATTCGTACTAATACTATAAACGCTAAAGTTTAGATGGATGTTTGTTATGGTCTGTAGCCTAAACTAGGCTAAACTGTTCTCGATGAAATTAGGCATAAATGTAGAGCTGTAAGAACATATAGGTTACTAATTGTTTAAAGTTCGCGTAAAAGTAGTCGAGGTCGTAAGATATTATTTTTAAAAAATAAATTCGATAGTTTTGATCTTTTAATTAGCACTAAAAAAGACGATCGCCCAGTATGTTAAAAGTATGACGTCATTACGATAAAACAGACAGGTTTTTAATAAGTCAATTTGGTGTTGTTAGTTAATTTAAGTGATTATACTGTGAATATCCAGATGTATTACCTCTGTCTACCTACTATCCGACCTCCTACCTCCCTCTACCTCTTATTCGCCTTTTTGTTGTATTTTTTATTGAATTAGCTACCACACAAAGGATATAAGTAGATAGGCTTGCTCTTAAATTAATTGCATTAAATTCTGCCGATTTAAATTATGATTTAATTCGGCAATTAATTTAAAGGGTATTTTTTCTACTCTACATCGTTTGTATGGTCCCTATTTCGATGAAAAATCCAACTTGAATATTAACAAAAGTGATTGTCTTATAGTCTCTGATGTTATTGAGTATAAAAGTGAAATAAAATTAATTCCTATTTATTGATTGCGTTAAAACAACAGCTGTTAACTGGCTGTGCAAATTCTCGCCAGCCTTGGTGCGAGCTGCCTGCAGTTGACATTTGAAATGTTAAGAAAATGTTATTGTTCTCCTATGCTAATGTAAATGAACCAATTTTTGACGTGAACTAATTATGGCAATGTAATCAATAATTAAATGAAAATTTTATATTGTTTGTGTCGGATAAATTCAGAGAAATCATTTTTTTTTAATAAAAGAGCACAGGATAATTAGAATAGCATCGGTAATAATACGATGAAATTGGAGGGATGTTCTTACAACTGGATAAGGGTTGTAAGGACCTGATGTGGCTTTCAGATGAGCCTTTAGCAGTTTTGCGAGTCGTTTGTTAATTGTTTACGGCCACGTGAGTTAAGATATAAAAGTCTAGTCTAAAAGGCATCCTATGTTTATCCATATAAAATGGTTCCTCAAAATGTCCTTAAATATGTCCTTAATAACGTGACTTTTTTCATCAGTGTACATCATTGTGATTTAAATATCCATCTTGGTTTTTGTAAAAACTAAATTTAAAAATCTATTAAAACATACTACACTTTACAACGGTTTAATTTTTTTTTCATTTTTATAGATTTATTTAATTCCTAGAATCATTTTAATCTAAAAAATAGCGTCTAATATAATTGTATTTATTAAAAACCTTATTTTTTTAATCTATTAAATTTAAACAAACCTGCGAATATAATTACGGCGAAGGCGATTTGCGCCAACACGAGGAGATGCGCGCACGCCATCTCACGACTGAACGCCACCGCGTGGCTTCACCGACTGAACTGAACTGAACTGAACACAGACGACCACTGTACTGTGGACTTCGACCACTCGTGCGCAACCACCATTTTATACCATGACTTTTTAATCCGTTATTTACTAGTGATATTTATTATTATAAATATGTAAAAACCTTAATAAATAAAATACTTACTCCAATATAGAATAGAGAAATTCGGTAACTAAGTACACTATATACTGCCTGCTACTGTTGCTATTTTTAAGTGTTGCAAATAAAACAAAACCTCTTAAAATCAAGCAAGCGGAGGATTGATGAAAGAAATAAGTTATGGGCTCTAGAACACATGTAGCACTGTATTAATTCAACAAAACTGGAAGAAAACCACTAAATTATGTTATACTTTAAGATGATTTTACACACCTTTATTCAGATTCATATTGTTAATGACGAAAGAAATAAAATATATAATTATGAATCAATTGAATCTTCAAGTAAGGTTTTTATGAACAGAAACACTTTGAACAATACCCTAATAATTTATCTATTTAAAAGTATATTCGCTATGATCCACGTAAGACGATACGTACAACAATAAGTTATAAATTGAAAAAAAAAACACTCCTTCACTTGTTAAAACAATGACGCATGCAGAAGCCATTACTTATGTTTGATTTTTAAGACATAATATGTCGCAAAACATATAATGAGGAGCATTCTAAAGACAGAAAAAAAATGGTAAATACGAGTATATGTAAAATTAAATCAAACTATGTGCTACATTCCCCAGACCAGGGGTGGCAAACCACTGGCAAGCGTGCCACTGGCACACGACATAATATTTAGGCCATGTCGAAAATCATACAAGCACTACGAAAAAAATTTAAAGGAGGTCTACCATGAAATTGACGTAATAATCGTAGTCAAAAATATTCGACGGCATGTCTAAGACTGCGTTACACATTTCTTTAATGAAAAAGCACTTTGGTGCATAGATGTTCGCCACCCTTGTCCTATCTTCTATTTTATTTCTCCTTCAGCATGTAAACAGCCATCTGGTGACGTCTTACCTAATAATTCTTTTCCACTGCATTCTGTCTTGAAATCTTTCTGAGACTTAGCACCCCATGTCTCTCAGCACTGCACCTTACCACGGTCCTTCGGGTCAGCTTCTGGGTCTCCGAAGTTGGAGCACAAAATTTTTTATGTAGTTCGGCGTCGCCCTGTTTACGTAAAACGATTTTCGAACATAAAGTAGGGTATTTTAAAAAAAATATTGTTTAAAATGTCAACGATGGCGGTATACAAATCATACAATTTTAAGGTTGTCAGAATGTTATCAATGTGGACGTAAAATGTTTAGTTTGTTATCTGAAATGACTCCAAGGTTGTCTAGCCTCGACAACCTCTTATACGCTTTTTTGTTTAGTGTCTTAACTTATAACAAGCCTTTTTTATTTGTATTCATAATTCATAATGCAATATGCTTAGTTATAAATATTAATCTTACCTCTTATTATCTTACTAATATTATAAATGCGAAAGTTTAGATGGATGGATGTTTGTTAGCGTTTGTAGCCTAAACGACTGAACGGATCCCCGTGAAATTTGGCACAGGTTTAGAGTATAGTCTGGAAGAACACATAGGCTACTTTTTATCCTGGGAATAGATACGGTTTCCGTGGGATTCATTAATTGAGTTTTTTAATGTTTACTCGATCATTCTGCAACGGTTCAATGTATCTTATTGAAATTTGGCACAGATATAAAACAAAGTCTGGAGTACACATGGGATAAGCTTCATCCCCGAGAATTGTCCGCTTCCCGAGGGATACGTAGCTTTTTGCAATTTATATAGTTTGTATGTTTTCTAATACCACGCAGACGAAGTCGCGGGCAACAGCTCGTAATATTATAAATGCCAAATTTTAGATGGATGAATCTTTGTTAAAGTTTGTAGTTTAAACCGCTGAAAGGATTTGGAATAGATAAAGATGACAGTCTGTAAGAACACATAGGCTTTTGTTTTTCTTAATACCACGCAGGCCATAGCTAATATTGTATAATTCTATAACCATAATTTGAAAAAGAATCTCATAATTTTGCTTGTAGAAAAGAAGATTTACTTCGGATCTTAACATGACATAGACTGAATGAGTTAAAACCATACCGCATGTGTTTAAGTCCAAACTAATAGGAACAGCGTGCAGGTACGCTGTACCTGCAGCCTGCGCATCAATTTATATCTGGATTACTTTGGGAGCTATGTCAGTAGTGTGAGCGAGGCAATTATTTACCGGCACTCGTCAGCTGGCATTGTGTTGGCGGCATTCAAGCATCTAAAGAGGATGTCGTTAATTTTGCTAAGGCGACGCGTATTGTGTCCAGATTGCACAGACCACGGAGAGCTACGGACGATTTGGTACACGCAATGTAGCACTTCCGATTTGTCTTATTAGAATAGAAGGTTCCTGTATCGTGTTTGTCTTGACTCATTGGTTTCACTGGTACTGTTCATGATGTACTAATATTAAAATTAAAGATATTAAATTCAGTTAAAAATAAATCAATAAAGTTACGAACATTACTTGTCTGCTAAAAACTAACTAAAGCAGCGGTTCCCAAAGTTTTTTTCCTTATATACACTATCCAAAATCTTACTACTTTCGTTGTATCCTTGTGATCTTGTTAGCAAATTTATGTATATTTAATAAGATTTTTTAAAAATTTTGTTGATTTCTGAATTTATTAATTTTGTTTTTGCACACAGGAGCCTTTAGTGTTTCGTGTTTCAAAGCAGTGAACATTTTAGTGGATCGAGTCGGGTCTCCTGTAGTCCACCGTGAGAGGATTACTAAGAGAATCACTGCTCTAAGGAGATTACCTTTGTCAAAGATTAAAACAATAATTCAGTTGATTACTATATAACCTCCATGTAATGTCATAGATTAAGTTATTAGCAGTTGTTTACTCTGTTAATTAATTAATCTATCACGTCTTGTGTTTCGCGATTAAAGTTGGTATTTGAATACGTAACTTTCATTTGTTCACGGAAAATTATAAAAGAATTATGACATGTTAAATATTTAAATTTCTTCTGTCAAAATATTTAGTCTAGTGCTAGCGGTGAGTTTGTTTTGATAACGACGATTTATGTTTTATAGCGAAGACTTGACTTTTTAAATAAAACTATTCAGTTAAAAGTAAACAAATCATTCTATTCCTTACTCAAATATGCAAAATTTAAATAATTTATAGTTATCATAGCACTTTCACTTTTACCGGAATAATGCACATCCACATGTCAATGTCACGGATAGTAGCTTGAATCCCAGTTTACCAGACCGTAGTAGACAAGGCGTGTTAGTGGCAAGCTTCATACCTGGATAGCTGGCAGTATGGCTGACACTGGCACGCACAATAGTACGCTTCTCGCGGAATTTTCCATCCCGCACAGCTGCCTCCTGGAACGGTTTGTCCTCGGTGGGTTTCCCAAACCATTACGACTTGGGTTCCTTCAAGAAGCGAGACTATCTCTTTCTCAAAGCCTGGCAACACATCTGCACTTTCTCTCGTGTTGGAGATGTCCATAGTCGTCGATGTGCTCATCGGTGTGCCAGCTCGTTTGCTTCCTTTTCTAACATAAAAAGTCCTTAGCTCGAATGCACATAGCTGTTACGAAATCAAACATTTTACTAGCTACTTGAATACCAATTTCTGGCATGCCAGTTGCCTGGCTCGAGCAAATATTTTACATACAAGATACTGGTATGTATCACCGCCCTAATGTTACTAATTTCTTGATAAATTTCGGTCAAGAATATAACGGTACTAAGAGGTCAATATCATCTAAATTCAGATCACAATAGCATTGTTATGTTTCGCAACACTTTTTTTAAAATTAGAACATGCGTATTAAACCTCTTTGATAGTTTTAAGTACATATTATTTTATGACAATAGATTTGCGTGATTCGGAACGCGGACCGTGCGGCCTCTGGCTACTTTGGAAGGTTCGGTCGGCACTGACCCCGCGCGTGAGTGCATTTACAAACTATTTTGCTTTAGGATGTGTCATTTTTAAGGAACTTTATAGGATCTGTGTAAGCTTAAAGATAAGATAGAGAATGAGTCTTTATTCCCATTACTAAGCTGAGAGAGAGAGAGAGAGAGAGAGAGACTTACAATGGGTATACAAGTAGTATGTGATATCTTAGCCGTTTTTGTATTTAGTTTATCTCATAATAATCTAAGCTTATTTATCCTCAAGTTGTGCGATACTAATCTTAAAACATGCAATTCTATGATAAATGTCTCGGTATAATTGTTCAAGGAAACAATGCTAGTGTTTATTTAAACAAAATATCATAAGAATATCCTTTCATTATCTACATCTATACTTATATTATAAAGAGGAAAGATTTGTATTTTTGTATGTATTGAAATAACTCAAAGATTACTTAACCTATTTCAAAAATTCTTTCACTATTAAAAAGCTACATTGTCAGTGAGTAACATGACTGACATGACTTTTTTATTGTTTTTTTAATTTCATGCGGAAAGTCGCGACCAACAACTAGTCTACAATAGGGTCTTCCAAGAAGCGTGCATACGAGTACAATGTCCTTTTATAATAAAAAAAGTCTTAAACAGGAAAGTATTAATAGTAACTATTGAAAACGTTTAGAATATGTGGAAAACATTATCTGAAAATTACAGTCCATGGTTGGTCATCATGCTCCTTATCTGCTAGAATGATAAACTTTGCTTTGATAATATAACAGTCATCGTTTGCGGACAAAAATATTAATATAAGAATGGGGCGTGGTCAGAGATAGCTTTATACTGCTTTAATATATTTGAGTGTTTAATCAAGTCGTTATCTTTGTGGAGCGGAGACGAGCCTTCAAACTAATTTTGTAGAGTGATCAGTTAGTGTGGAGATAGACTTTTATAAATAAAACACTACAGTTGTTCTTAACTCTGTGTACTATACTCTACTCTACAAAAAAGTGTTGCTTATGTATTCTTCCAACTATCATCTACATCTATGCTAAAATT